AGACTGAAACGAAAAGCTGAGAGCATAAGCTGTAATACTGCGTTTCTACAAGAGGAATCGAGAGACAGAACGACTATCAAGTCAGATATTTCATGACTCTCGAAACTGTTGTATTGTTGGGAAAAGTCAGACCGATAATCTTGTTTCTTTGACGAGTGATATACGCAGCAGATAGATGGAGATGACGAAGTGCTTCAGGCTTTTCTATGTACGATGATGAGCCTTCACAGAAGTCTTTGAGAATATATTGTCAAGAATGTTTTTGAATGTTTTTAACATATAAGAAACGAATTGCTCTATTTGAGAATGACAGTTCTTGGTCGAAGATATAATGAATATGAAGAATACTAATTGCCAAAACTCTGTCTTGGTTTTCTATAAAACCTGAATATCTGAACAACACTACAGTTTCGAAGTCGTTCTGCTCCTCGATTCCTCTTGCAGAAACGGAGGAAAGCAGTATTACAGCTCATGCTCTCAACTGAATCGATAAAATAAAATAGTCAGCGATAGATTAATTTTTCCTGGGTACGATCCGAAGTTAAAGCTCTTGTCTTTGGCTGTCAGCCCCAAAACACTCTCGGACAAACCCCAATTCAGATATGTCTTATTTGGATGTGCTCGATTGATCTTGAGAGATTCAAAACTTCATTCCTTCGGCCATGGTAGCAAACGCGATCGACTCTTAGAAAAAGACGCTCTTTCTTTATGCACCATAGTTGTGTGCATCTTTCGTTCGAATGATCCAGAATGAGACCAGAGAGAAAGTGATGTGGTGTTGTAAGACAGACAAGGATCTTTAGGAACTGTTGAGCTTTCGATCTCCATCACGAGACACCTTCATATGATTTTAGGTAAATCATCCATCGGTAAACGATTTGTATCAAGATCTGCGAGATGGTGTTGTTCTGTTAAAACTGCTCGAATGTCTGACAGGAAACGAATACGTACGCACCTTCATTGTACAAATCTGACTGTGTCACTCCACAAATATTTGTGATGCATTTTAGAAACGCGAGAACGGTCGCATGCGTGTACACCACATTGGAAATGTGAACAAAGTGATTGCGGTATTGAATGAACATGGTGTAAGTGGCCGATACTCACCGCTTTCTGCTGAGAAAAGCTCTTTTTGTATCTTTTTGTTTAGATTAAAGTGCTCAGTATTAGTAGCAATGATATTGTTGATGGGAATCCAAAACTAACATTAGCATTGATATGGTCGATAATCCAGTATTGGCAGGTAGAGAACTCAAATCGTTGTTGATTAAGAGAGAAAAGACGAATGAAGAATGTTTCTGTTTATTTTGTGTAGGTGAAGGATGTGTTGAAAGCGGTTGTACCTGACGTTCAACAGAATAATATTGAAAAGTTTCTATTGAACTGGTGCCAACAAACAACAAGAGGGTAAAAGCACTAAATGGCTAGAATAAAGTCTAGATGTGTTGTGATAAACTGAGTAAGATCGTAACTGAAGTCTTTACTTCTGAATGCATCCGATGTGGTGGTACTCCATTGTTTTCCTACAGAAGAGAAAGAGTTAGATTTTAAGAGACAGTTAATGGTCGGAAAAGATTCTCGCCGTTCAATGACTAGTGAAAAATAAGAAAAAGCCAGGCAGCCAATCTGATTGTCAGAGACATCGTTTTCTAGAGTGTGATATACCAGAAAGTGATTGTTTTGAGCGTTTTTCTTTTAATAGCTACAAAGGTGTTGAAATCAAAGATTTTACACGCAGTTGGCAAGATGGATTAGGTTTTAATGCGTTAATACATCATTTTCGTCCGGATCTATTTGACTACGATGAAATACTTCAAAATGCATCGGCAAGAAATTTAGAACATGCGTTTAGCGTGGCAAAAAATGTGTTTAAAATCGAACAATACCTTGACGTTGAAGGTACGTATACATTGAAGGTGGACATGTTAGATGCTATAAATATGAAGCTGTAGAAAAAACAAAATTAAATCAAACTAAATTATTGATTTTTAATTTGTTCAGACGTTTTGTCGGAATATCCAGACAAAAAATCAATAATGATGTACATCATGTGTTATTTTCAACAATTACCGCTCTCCTCTATCATTATTCAAGATAAAAACAACGTGGTATTACACGAAACAGAGGTAAATAAATATACACTGGACAAAAAAGAACCTACCTGAATAGGCGAGCGTTTAATACTAAACATCAAGTGTAACTTAGCTACTTGACATATAAAGAAACATGGTGAGTCTATTAGTTCGTTAGTGATCCTTCCAAAACTACAAGAAATAAACTTAAATTTATATCGATCGCGCGCCTCAAAGTTCGTAAGGAAACAGTTGGTTGGAGCAAAAAATGAAACACCGCTAAAAGCACACATAGTATCAGCATACTATGACAGTATTAGCACTATCAGCATTGCAGATGCAGGAGGCCGTAAATAATTGAAAAGGGCCGGGCGAACTCGGGTCTCAACTTTTCGTCGTTGCGCCGGGCTCAAAAATTTTAAAATTGATCTGGCCGAACTTGGGCCTTAAATTTACTTGGTTGGGCTAGGTCGGATCAGGAATTTTCGGGCCGTGCCCGTTTCTGTTACGTAAAATAGAGTATTTTAAATGACTGTTGTTTTTGTTTAAAGTCGGATAAAGAGGGGACAATGACCACTATGACATCTCCCGAATTAATATCTTATCAAACAAACATGGAAAAAAGTCTTTCATGGATATTACAATTAGAAGACAAATTAGATAGCAAAGAAAAAGTTACATGGAACGATTTAAAACTAGTCAAAGAACAATTTCAAAGTCATGAAGTAACGAGAGGCAGAGTCTCTTAAATATAATCGAGTAGTAATTGTTCTTTTGTTTCTTTGAAGGATTTTATGATTGGTTTAACAAGAGAACAAAATCAAATTGGCGAAGTGTTACAAGAAGGAAATTATCTATTAAATAATGGACAACTACAAGCACCAGAAGAGAATGAAATTAAAGAACAAATGAAAATCTTGAACAAGAGATGGGAAGTATTGAGACAAAAAGCACTCGATCGACAATCAACTCTTCATAAAACATTAATGAAACTACAAATGGATCAAATAGAATCATTTGATAGATGGTTGACAACTTCTGAACAACATATCAAGAATGATTTAAACATGATGGAAGATAATCTACCGGGTATTGAACGACAATATAAACAATTAGCGTCGTTGCAAGATGATCTTGTTCATCAACAACAAATAACAGAATCACTTCAGAACATGGTCATTGTTGTCGACGATACAACGTCATCATCCGCAAATGGAACAGACGATCAATTAAAACCTAATTCAAGCGATATTGAACGAAAACTGTTAAGTTTAAGTGAACGATGGGCATCGATATGCAATTTTGTACAAAGTCGTTGGATAACATTACAAGAAGTCAAAATTGAATTAGAACAAATAGATATCAATCAAAATAAATTAGATAAATGGTTGACGAAAAAAGAATTTGAATTAAAACAAATGAAATTAGAAACAAATGTGTCAGACACAGAGGTTCTAATGAAACAAGTGAATACGATTCAAGTAAATATATTTTCAATATCATAATTAAATAATGAGAATTATTTAGTAACATCAGACTGAGTAATCTCGAAGAAAAATATGAAAATATTCTGATTTTTATCTGTGTTTTGGTTTTTAGAAGACAGAGTTGGAAATGGAAGATATGAAACAATCGATATTATTATTAGACAACAGTATTAGAATATTAACTAGCCATTACGATTCAACATTACCATTGATAAAAGAATTAAATGATACATTGAACAATTATGAGAATCGATGGAGAATACTTATTGACGATTTAGATCATGTGACAAAAAGAGTAGGTCTACCACTTAACTAAAGATTGTTTATAAAATAATTTTTACTTAATTTTGTTCTAGTTGAAATCTTCAAATATAAGTTATGAAACGAGTACTTCAACAAGTGTAATACCATCCTCTGAAGGAGAATCCAAGTCTCCTGTTGCCGGTGATATATTAACAAAAACTATAACAACTACAATAGAAGAGACAACAACGACCTATTCGAGTGGAGTGAATGACGGTGATTCAACTAAAAAACGTAAAATCGATGCGACATTAAAGAAAGATGATTATGAGTTATCTAAAAAAAAATATAATGATTGGATCGATAATATTGAGAATATTATTAGCATAAATCATTTAGAAAATTTGAAACAAGAAGAAAGAAAAGAAATTATTGAAGTATATAAACGTTTTTCTTCTGTTTTTTATTAGATGACAAACTATTGTTTTCCCATTTGTAGGAAGTTAAAACCAAATTTGAATCGTATAATGAACAATTTACACAGTTGCTCCATAATGGAAGAGAAATAACGCATCAATTAAAAGAAGGTAAAGAATATATTTACCAGTCATTTGTATTTGAAGCGTCTTGCTTACTCTCAATTAGAGATCTGCATGAATTAAGAAAATGTAACTCGAATACGATCCGACCATAAGGATTAAAGATGTAAAGATGTTAATTTCAATATGAAAAAGTCTCTCTTGTATGAAAACAAAGCAACAACTAATGAGATATGTGAATATAGTTTTGAAATAAATATTTCAATTTTCAACCCGAAAAATAATATAAAATTAAAATTATTATCTATTTTGAATTGAGTCGTTAAAAGTTGGATCTCAATAATCTACTTCAGATCATCATGTCTGGATCTCTACTAGATTCAGAGATATATCTAAATATCTTCGTATTTGATCGTTGAACAAACACTGAGTTAACATAATGGATATTTAGAAGTGTGACAGACCACCAAAGGCATCATTTAGAAACGTGCATATATACCATCTAAAAAGACTTCACTCATCAGTTATAGGGAAAATTAATTGTATGAGAAAGCTTGAACAAGTAATATAGATCACACCAACAAGGCAAAATGTCATAAAAATTAAAATAAGAGTATATCAAATACGTTAATTAATATCAGAAAGAAAAACGGAATAGTCTGCACTGATCTACACAAGATTGAAGAAAACTTAACATCATCATCAGAAATATTTAAATATTATTTCTGAACATTTGAGTTCTATTCGAATCGTATTTTTTTGTGTTTTTTGTTCTGAATTGTGTATATGACAGTGGGTTTTTCTTTTTGTCTTTTTCAGCAAACGAAGATACCCGTGAACATGAAAAATCTCTTCATGACCTTGAACAACGTTGGCATAATTTACATGCATTAATTCTTTCTAATGAAAAAAATATTGAAATAACTGCGTATACGAAAAAATTCAATGATGAGTTAAATACTTTAGAAAAAATTCGACAAGAATATGAACATTGGTTGGATAGTACAAATGAAAATGATATTACTCAAACCACAAATGCACAAAATGAAATAATCAAAGTAAGTGTACTATACATTTAAAACAGTGATTTGTAACGGTGATAAATAATAATAATAATGGTAATAATAATAGTCCACCGGTTATGGTTTTTCAACGAAAAAAAATAAGGATTTTTAATTAAAAATGTTGTCTCTTTTGATAGATTAGATTTCAATTCAAAGTATATGTTATTTTTAAAATCAGAATAGTAATGATCAAAAACACTAAATGAAATTGACATTTTTGCTTTCGTGATACACACTATATTCTCTCCTTTACTTGATTAAAACATGATTAATAATTGTGATAATAACGAGGGTTTTGTATATTGTGACAATTATACATACAAGTTGTCTTAATCGTAAATTGATGACTTGCATGCAAGTTGTATTAAACACGTCAAACATATCCACTCAGTTGATTCTTTTAATTGTGGTCTCATTGAGAGAAGGAGGCGCTTCGTTTTGCGTATTCGACGGATCTTCTAGTATACTTATATTCATTTCTAGACTACTGATTACATGCAATAATTCTAGCATTTTGTAAAGCGTATATCTCAAGATTTATGCTTGCTTGCATTCATCAAAATATGAGTATATTTCAATAAGAAAACGGGCAAAATGCTGGATTTTAGATAAGAATTAGTACAACGTATAGTGGACAATAGCAGATGGACATAAGTAGAAAGTATATTCGGCAACCTCAACAATGAACTTTTTTCACGTTTTCAAGCACGCTCTATTGAATGGCCCACTGAGAATTTTTTTCTGGAAAAAAGTGCTTTTTCTCAAATTTAGGCCTTCGGAGCAGAGAATCTCAGACGAAATTTTTTCAAAATCAACTTTTTATTTAGAAATGTATTATTTGACACATGATTTAATGCAGTTTTTTGTACTGATTCCGAATATCACCTTACTTTTTAATACAAATGCTCCTAGATCGAGAAAATCGGATTTTATCTGGAAAACTAAGGTTTTTGGGGAAACTCACCTTATGACTTAGAATAGAACTGCATAAAGCTGTATGCATCATAGATGCAGGATATACAGACAAACATTTTGGTGTGATTTTACGTAAAAATAAAGTAACTGGAAAACTTGTTTTTTTTCCATCGGAAGTATAAGTCCACAAGGAAAGATATTTTCAGTAAAAGATAGGTGAAGGTGTTTAGATTCAGAATATGACCCTTTTTGCCTTTAAGCCCCTTCTCTTGGATTTTATAGAAAACCGATTTTTTTTCTACCGGTGATTATTTTTCAGCTAATTTTTGACTATGAGTTTTCCGACGAATCAAGAGACTTGAAATAAAAAATTTCATGCCACTAAATCTAGTATAGCTTAAAATATATTTACTGTTGTTCAAGTCAGAAAAGGCGCACTTTTGATTTTTGGCCAAATGTCCGAATCGTTGTTCACTGTGTAGCGACATCTGAATTGCAGTCTTTATATTTCTGTATAATTCAAGGAACAATATCCCATCATCATCAAGACTTTTTGCACAATTTTTCAAATTAACTAATTGCAAACAGAGATGGATCAGTTGCTGTGTGTAATGTAAACATCATAAATTAATCATTTGAGAGTATTTTCTAAGATACTAGTTAATCAAAATATAATTAGCATTCCAATGCGATAATGAACATCTAGTAGTAATGTTTTTTGATCCTCATAATGCTATGATCATATGTAGTAGTTCTGTTTAATAATTGGCAGGTGCTGCCCTTTTTTTCCGTTGTTCATTCATGTATTATGGGAAAAAAAAAATAATACAAAAATATATAACGTTGATCAATAAACATTTGTGATCAGTTGATGAAGATTGATCTAGACATGATTGTGTGTGAACTTGAATAGATACGAAAGCTTTTTGCATATTTATCGCATAAATCCGTTATTTGTGTGTGAGTATGAGGGATAATCATCTTTACTGAACTCTATCACATACAGAATAAAAGAAAGAGAATTGTATTGATGTTAGTGATATTGAGAAAGAAAGAAAAGATATTATCGGTTCGCACTTTGTTCGTTTACTTCTCTTTATAACAAGATATTCTTTAGTTTGTAATTCACCGTGTATCTTCAACATTTGTTTAGTTTGAGGGAATTTTTTCTTGCTTTTAAATTACTGTATAATTAGCATAATGCAAAATTTTCACCATCTAAAACAAGCTAGTTTATTCATGTTAACAACAGCCTGTGATCTGACACTACAGTTAACTGAATGCTATCATGAAATTCGTTATTTTGAACTGGCAATCTAAATTTTACGTCTTCATTTTAAGACTTTAAATTTGAGTAGGCCTCAAGTCATGTTTAGATAAAAAGTTGATAACATTCTGGGTGTTAATATATCGGAGATATATATTCTTGTATTGTGTTTTTCAATTAAATTAGAAATACTATATCCAAAACCGTTAGCTAGAATATCACGTAGTTGCTACATAAAGCACTCATCGTATTCTTACGTTTTTCCCTAGTGAAACACGGCATTCGAATGATCTCTTTAAATCATGATATTTTTTAGACACATAGATTTAGAGAACAGACTGAAAATTTACCCACAGGAATGAAGCCAGATGACGTAATAACGTGATTTGTCTTTATCAAATGTTCGATAATAAATATACTGCACTAAGAGTAAAACTGAATGAACTGTCTAATATATAAAGCATCCTCTGTACGATAATATTGTAGATATCGGTATTTTGTGACCGAATCGTCAAAGTATAATGATATAAATGATGATCGTTTATAATCAGAATATGAAAAAGAGAGAAATACATTAATTTTGTCTCATAAAAAAAAAAGATTTTTGTTCTCTAAAGTCATATTATCTTCAGATAAGATAATAGCAAGAAAATTAATTAATAGAATTTAATATTATTGATATAAAACTCGTACATATGTAGAATGATGAACTTGAATGAATTGTCATATATTATTTTTAAAAATTGATGAGTCTAGTATATCAGCTATAATCTAAAAGTCATAATCTTTTCGATAAATGTGCAAGTATCATTTAGTCAAAAAAAAACTTTTTCCAAATATAAATCCTTAAATCCTTAAATCTCTTTTAGCATCATGTGTGTACAGTAATAATATATTGATCCGTGCAAAAACAAATATTTAGCAAATTTGTTTTTTTTCTCTTTTTTCTGATTCTTTGGTATATGTACATTGGCTAAAAAATGTGACACTGTATGTTATTTTTAAGATTGAAAAAGAAAAGAAGAATAAACTCAATGAAACATATACCATTTTTCATTGTATGTCATTTGAAAAAGTTGGAAATATATATTTATAACGGATATTTTTTTTTTCACTTTGTGCTTAATTTTTTTTTCTTCTTCTTCATGTTTTATCCGCAACACCCTAATTTTAATGTTGCTGTTGTCTAAAACGAAAATTTAAAAAAATAATAAAAAAATATGTGCCAATATGTGTTCATCTGTTTTTTGTTATATAATTGAAAGAATGATCATACTATACGCTTTTACTTTCTTTCTGTTGTTGTTAAATATATGTGGGTAACCACAATAGAAGAAGAAGAAAAAGAAAGAAAAACCGCAGTATGACCTTTTTTTTTTTATTATATTAGAAAAAAAAATTTCATGGTCAAAAATTGATTTCGTTGTTATATGAGATCAATAATTCGTCAGACTAATCTTTCAAAATGTTGTTGATCTAGTTTTTTTCGTCAACTGACTTTTTTGAAAATAGTATATGTTTATTCATTACTTCATAATTATAGAAAATGTATGATGTCTGATTGAAAATAAAAATATTTTTGTCAGCAAAATTGAGAATAGGTAATGTTTTTTTAGCTCATTTGTCAATAAAAGTTGAGAGAATTAAAGTAGAAGATAAATAAACACAACATAAAAAAATTTAAGAAAAATTTAAGAATCATATTACTCTAGTTTCTACTAAAGATCTCTTTAACACATTATTATTTGATAATCTTGGATTCAGTGTGCACTATATCTACTCAAAATACTTCAAAAAAATCAAAAGTAGGCTGTGTTGTTGTTTATTTGTCAAATGAGACAGACTATAACGATAATGATAGCTATATTTTTGAGATTGCATTAAAATAACCTCGTTCTCTAGTTTGTTTTCGATCTTTGTATGGACTAAATTCTTTTCTTTACCGCCCTAATCATTCTTTATATTTACCTGTAGTGTCCTTACACCTGTACGAATTTATCAAATTAAGTAGACGGTAAGGGTTTTTTGTGAATTTGTATTTTATTATTGCAGGTGTAAAAATTCAGATCCTTGTTAAGAAACTTTTCCTTTTGCTCTCTCTTTATAAACACGCAGACACACACACACACATACACACAACTAAAGTGTGTAAAGCCGATTATTTTACGATTAAACGTTTGACTAATTTCAAAGCATAGCAATAAGAACAATAATAAAAGGATGCAATTTTACATACCAAATGAAATGTATCCGTTTTTGACACGCTGAGCATACGCAGTTTAGATGACAGATAAGGTCATTTAGTCAATAGAAGAAAAGACAAAATTAAACCTGTTTGTCACTAGTAGAAGAAAAAAAAAGTTGATACTCGTTTTGACTGAAAAGCTGAAATTCATATCAGATTTGCTCTTCTTTTCATTTATTTAGATGTAAAAATATGAGAATATAAAATACGGTATTTAAATATAAATAATATTAAATTCTTTGTATCTAAATGATAATACTGATAATGATGATAGTGGCAGTATTTCACTGTTATTTTTAGTACGAGAAAAATATGTTTAGGCTTTACAATATTATAGTATTTTTCAACGATAAAAATTATACATCAGATGTACAATGTGCAAATTCTCTCATCCGTGTCAATTAATAAAATAACATATTATAATAATACTATTAGCAATTTATCTTCTAGCGTGATGTATATACACTATAAATCGTTCATGAATTATTTTTTTTAGAAAGACGGTGTTTATTGTTATTTATCGTCTTTGTTGTATTTAACGATTTTTGAGTACATTATAATACGTATACTTCTCTAATACGTATTTGACAATGTATGTTAATGAAAGAGTTTTCTCTTTCAAAACGAACAAATTTATACGGACAAAGAAGAACTAAAACGGGTAAAAAGAAAAAAAAAAATTCTAATTTTTTTTTTTTTTTGTTGTTTTTTTTGATAGAAACGTATATATTTGTAGTTTACTATCTACAGATCACCCAGTATTTTATATTTATTTTAAATCTTTTTCGTAACGTAGTTATTCATGGTCAAGGTTTATGATAAAAAAAAACAACCGAAAGTTGTTTTTTGTTTTTTAATGGGACTACAAAAATTCTCAGACATTTTTTGTACATGACGAAAATCTCTAAATTATTATGAAAGAAAAAAAAACAGATTTTCTCTAACATTGATTATAAAAGATGTCTATTACTCTCACTGTTGAAATTATACTTTAATATTGAAGATAAGTAGATGATTGTATCTTACGTATGATTATCCATCCATTTCATCTGGTACAGTAAATATAGTCAAAAGAGTTTTCTAAAATTTTATTTTAATTTAAAGTGACTGAGATAGATATGGAACTTTTTCTTCTATTTCTAAAAATATCAAACGATTAGAACTAATAAATATGTCAAAATAAAAATATTTGGACAAAAAAATAAATATAGAAATGTACCATCATCAAATATGTTCTCATCTTGTCCGACACTTTAGTCGCTCACTAATACATTTTTTATTTCTTTTTCCTTCTCTCTTACGATTTACTACTCATCTATTATTATTATTATTATTATTATTTTTGTCCATTTGTCTCACTACTCTACATTTTTTCCATTTATTTTATTTTAAAGGTAAAATTAAAGGGTATACAATCTCACGCCGAAAGTCTAAATAATCTACGATATATGGCTGAACATTTACAACAATTGAACGGTGGAAATACAACTTCAATAAGACAAGCAAATGACTTAACAAAAGCATGGGACACTACACATTCAAATCTACGTAAGTAGAGTAAATTGATCTTTTTCTTTTTTCTCCTTTTAATAAAGAAGTGTAAGAAAATTTAAGATATGAATGTGATTGAGAGAAAACGTGTTAATTTGGTATTTTAATACGATAGTGCTATGTAGAGGCCAAAGATAAAATTAGAAATAGGCGATTTATCAACTTTATGCTAATAATAGAACATAATAGTAGAGAATAACTTCAAATGAAATGTTTTATAGTTGTATGTACATCTGACAGATAAAAAGAGATCATCATTAATTTATCGGTCAAAAATAAAAAATAATTATAATATTCGGTTGAGTTTTGGTTTGCATTTGATACATTGATATATATTTTATTATTATTATTATTTAATTTTGATTTAATTTTGATTTTTATATGAAAGGTGGCATGTCGATTCACGCTTCCGCTTTGGGTGTGTGCGCGTGATACGATATTTAATAAAACCCGCATCTATATAAAATATGAATGGATATTTGATCAGCTTCATTTCACAGATAATCGTATCGATGTACACGATATGTTGACAGATTTTTTTTTTTTTTTTTTTGTTTGTTTAATAAGAGTATATACGATGAATGTCTCAAGTTTATTTATTTTGATTATAAGAGTTGCCACTAGAAACTCTTTTTTAAAAGTTCAATGATAAATACTTTTTTGAATAAGTTTACGATAACAGCCGACTCTATTTATTATAATAAATTCTATTCATTTTAATATTAAAAACAGTATAATTTGTTGTCAAATGAGGTAATCAGACTAGAAATTGAAAACTAGTCTCTCGTTCACCGAGTTGATACTCTTTAACCATTGAGTTACTTGATGTAATTACTCTTCATTACTATTAACTTTAATTGAAATTTTCCTTTTTTTATAGGCTTGCTTTGTCACTTTAAAATTTAACATACTTCTTCGCTAAGCTTAAAAAAATTTTCGAAGCAGGTTTAACATATTTAATGAAATAAGTTTACGATTATACTCAAATGAGAAAAAATGAAGAAGAAGTGTAATACATCAGTATTTGAAACAAGTTTTGCTTTGCATAATGTGTATACTATTTTTAGTTTAGTTAGACGTTTCAGTTCTTTTATTTTCTCTTCGAATCACTCATCAAAGAATTAGATGACCGTTTTTATAGTTAGGTTATCACATTAACAATACACATACATACACACACATGCAACAATATGTTCGCAAATTATTACGATGGTCTACTAGTAATGGAACAAAAGAAAAAAGAAACACCATCATCGCGCACTTTTTTTTTTTTTATATATTAGTTCATTTTCTCTTGTTTTGTATGTGATGAACGAGAAAAAGAGTATCTCGTGAACCTCATGTTTGGAATAATCAATAAGAAAAAAAGAAAAGAAGTAGTATTCAGCATGACACGCACATATAACTACCACGACTAGTCGTTAACTGTTCGGTAGGTTTTTTTTTCTATCGTTCCTTTCATTTTCTAATACAAATAAAAATCTTTTTTTTCTGCCAAAAACAACAACATTTCATCTGTTGTATTCGCTGTCAAACACGTTTGTCTCACCGTAGTAAAAATGTCTGGTAAGCAAACAAAAAAATTTTTGCCTAAAAAAAAGTATAATTAAAAGAAAGTAGGTAGAATCAATTACACATGTGGTACACAACGGCTAATGAATGTGAGTTTAGATTTTCATATTGAGTTGACATTTTTCCTTATTCTACTTTGAAGATAATATAAAGTAGAATTTTTGTCGTTAACACGTGTGTACAAAAAAATGGATAATCGTGTACATGCTATCGTTTTTGTCGTTAGTTGACTATTAATAATAAACTAAAGAAAAAATGTCGATCAACATAATACGATATAAGCTTAGAAGAAGAAAAGAACAATAAATTTGTTAATAGATTAATACATATCTTATTATTGGATTGGGAAATTTGCCTTATTTGAGTAATTTAGTTTGACAGTCTCAGTTTTTTATTTAGTAGTAGCACCATAGTGATAAGATGCTAATTGAGATGGTACGAGTAATCTATAACCATTTTAAAGAATATTTTCCTCTTTCTGACAGTATCATATATAGCTAAAATGAGCATACTTTTTGAGTGTAAAACTTTTGAGAGTTATTGCCTTTTTTTCTTAAACCTGCCCAGTGTTTATTTCTCACTTTTTTTTTCAATCTATCTTTGAAAAGGCGAGCGAAATATTCGTATTGAACGTACTTATGGTCAACAAGATATCGATCGTCAAAGGCCTCGAGATGATAANATTTTAAAGAATATTTTCCTCTTTCTGACAGTATCATATATAGCTAAAATGAGCATACTTTTTGAGTGTAAAACTTTTGAGAGTTATTGCCTTTTTTTCTTAAACCTGCCCAGTGTTTATTTCTCACTTTTTTTTTCAATCTATCTTTGAAAAGGCGAGCGAAATATTCGTATTGAACGTACTTATGGTCAACAAGATATCGATCGTCAAAGGCCTCGAGATGATAAGGGACAATGCATCAAGTACATCCTTGATAAAGGCGAATATTATGTCTATTCCTGCTTCTAGTCTACTAATCTCTTTTATCATCGACGAACTTAAAGTATGAGCGTTAATTTAACTATGATTAATATAAATACTCAAACACAACCTACCACCACAACACAATCAACTAAACTCTCACCATCCGGATTTACCGGTACTGGTGTTAATACGTCGTATTCTAGTACGAGTTCGTCGACAGCTAATCAGCTACATTATCCATCAACGTACCACCACAGACGAGAAGTTGGTGACTCTTTAACAACGAGTCCAAATCAAGTTGATAATCAAACACAACAATCAGCACTCGGTCAATCAATCGGTGAAAATGGAAGTGTATTTACACTAACAAATATTTATACTTTTGCCGATAATTCGAATAATTCATCTAGTTTGAATGATAATAATCGTTTTTATACTGGTAGCAACGATGGTTTTTATTCACGAAGGTTTGAAGAAGGAAGTACAGATAGAAATACAGTACCAAACTCTGATAAATATACTATTAAATCGTTTGTTGAAGTATTCGATAATCCTCAACAAGAAACAGAAACTGAAAGACACATTAGAAAAACTCATACATCTGAACATCGTTTAACACGTAAAACTCATACAAGTGCAAGTGAAACGACTGATTTTGGAGGACCATCTCGTTATTATCATGGCCATTCAACTTCAACAACTCCTACAGTACCACCAATATATTCAGGTATATTAGTTCTGCTCGTTTTACTTGTTTCTAGTAGTATAACAGACCCACTAATTGAACAGTCAATAATCTAATTGAAAAATTTGTTGCTTAACGATATAGTGTAATCTCTTTCGCATGTTTAACAGCGTTCTGATTAATGTTTGGCTTGCTTTTGTCTTTTTTTGTTGGCATGTGCTATCTGTTTGTGGTGTGCGGTGTGTGGTGTGTGGTGTGTGGTTATATGTGTTTTGATCAGATATTCATTGAACTTTGATCTTACATAACTGACATAATTCAATTAATATGTTTATTAAGAAGTACGCACGGTGTGATTCACGCTTTGAGCGAAATATTATTGTGGAGAACCGTATCAAACTAGTTCTTATTTATATGACTAAGACAATACATTTTTCTTCAAAAATCTATCCAAGTAAATATTTTTACTTCTAAGACTACATTGAATGAATGCTCAAATAAGAAACAAAAGACTTTGCAGACAATTTTTCAAATTTCTAAATGTGTAGAAAAGATCTATCTAATTTTTCCATCTATCAATGAACCACAGTTATCTATTTAAATTTTTAATTGATAAATAGAAATTTTTTGCCAAATTGTCAGTTCAAAATCACAACTGTTTTTGAAGACGAATTGAATGTAATTGAAATGAGAAACGCAGGTTAATGTGATTGATCATAAGCTTTCAAATTTGTTATTACTATATAAGAGAATAAATAGTTGAATTTTGCTAAAGGTTAAGGTAATACTGATTACACTTTATCTTGACTGACAACCTTTTCATCATATCCATTTCATCGCATCATTTCAAATGGCATGTTCTACAAAAACAAACAAATATATTTTTTTTCCCGTATATGCTCATTCATTGCTAATTATAATATGTTTTCGTTTCACAATATAACCAAATACATTTGGTGATGATTTACAAAATACTGTGAGAAATACTGTGAACAGATAGAATTTAAGAATAAAATTCTTTCATTCATCATTTTATTAATACTGAGTGTTTTAAGAATGGTGTGTAAGTAACTGAAACTAGAAAAATAGGTACAGAACAAATTCGAACGTTGGAATTCACGTTTGAGCTGGAAAGTTAGTAGTTTTTATGAAACTTTTCATTGTTTTAAGAACACGATGACAGGATTAAGAGATATAATTAATGTTTGAAAAGAAAAAGATGTCAAATCTTCGAAAATGTTCGGTTTATTTTATACCCGAGTCAGAGCTAGGACTTTATGTATCCCTCAATATGAGAAAATTTTAATAATAACACAAAAGTTTTCTGTTTCCTATACTGAGACATAAACGACATTAAGTGATTTTGCTTTAGTGACCGTATAAAGCTGTGCTATAGGAAAATAGCGTTTTCTAGACTGAAAAGAGCACAATTCGTACTAAAATCAATCTTTTGGCTGAAATCAATATGAATGAAATTAAAATCAATTTTGATTTTTGAAAAAAATATAATTCAAAATTAAGAAATGAAATTAGCGAGATATCATCGAAGAAAGTTTCAACGAGAAAACGTTAATTTGACTACTTTGAACGTTCCTTTTTCACCCCAAACGTTTTTCTACTACAACACACAAAATAAAGAATACAGCATTAACTAATCCATTATCTTCTCTTTTTAAACATGCTCACAACAATCTTTTAAATTAAAACTGTGCTCTTCTCAGTCAAAAAAACCCCCGTTCGTGTACTACTATGTATGCTAAAAAATATACGAAAAACAACCATAATGGAGTTATATCTGCCAAGGTTCCCATTGACGAATAAATATAATACAAACGTCATTTTCTTTAAAACGTTTCCGTTCTCATTTGAAGACTCAAATGGTTGAGCTTCTTTACAGAAAATTGATTTAAATTGATTTAAGTATTCTAATCAATTTTTTTATTTGTTTATAACATTTTTAAAACGATTGTTAATAAAGCTATACATTAACATAAACATGTGTATATTAATCTATGTCCTTTTCATTTTTTAAATATTATCTTAAAATTTTCTTTTTTTTTCTCATCTATTTTAGGAAGTCGTGTGATAGATCTTAGTGCAACACAATTGCCACAGTTATTTATTGAACAACAAAAGAAAATTCGTGAGTGGCTTCAACATGTTGAACAATTATTACTTACAGATAAAATTCAAAAATGTGATAATCAAGCAATTGAACAGAAGAAAATTTTTTACAAAGTAATCATTCATTCTTGGTGCAATAGTATAGTATATTTTGAAAAAAAAATGAGATTTTTCTATATTTTAGGATTTACTTGATCAAACATTTGAACAGGAGAGAACAATGGAATATTTGAACACTACTGCTAATGAATATTATGAAAAATTACCATATGATATTAGAAGAGAATTACAAGTAGAATTACAAAATTTTCAATATCGACTCTATGATATTAAAACGTTTCTTAGTGAAAGATTGACAAAATATAATAAATTACACAAGATGTTAAGCGATTTTGAGGTAAGACGTGTGTACAACATCAATTATTATAAATTATATTTGATTACCGACCATGAGAAGAGGAAAAAAAATACGATACATGCGTATATAAAGGATGGACTAGAATCACTGAAACGAACGTTTCAATAATTCTGTCCCACCCTCTATGCATTATGAAAAAAATTTAACTTAACTGTAAGGTATTTTGAAAAAAAGTTTTCTAAAAATTGACAGTCTTTAAAAATTCTACTTTTTTTAAACACATGTCAACGTTTCTTTCATCATTCAGTAAGATAAAGTAAAAATTTCTGTTCAAAACAAGATTTTCTATAATTCTCTGCTATTTTTGCCCGGCCCGAGTCCCACTGTAAATGTTTTTTAGACTAAATTCAACTTTATTATAGCAAAAACGCAGAAAAAACTTTGATAAAGATTGATTCAGCAACAATATCAGTTACTTAAGGGAACAAATATTTTTATGACAACAGAATTAACTAAATAATAGTAACATCTACTGTTACTAAGAGATAGTCAAATTTAACTGGAAATTTGGATAAAACTTTAAAAATTTCTACGGCCAAACTGGTCCCAAAAAAAGCGTTGGCGCGTCCGATCTGAAAAATTTTCTGGGACGGCCCGAGAAAAAAATCGATTTGCTCGGCCCAGTCGAGATGAATCGATCTCGGGCCTGGCGGACCAATAGGAGCTCTAATATACACATTAGAATGAGTGCTAGTTGAATCTATACCCAGATTTATTATAGCTGCAATGATTCACGAGAAAGAGCAAAAACAAGTTTGTTGTTAAACACGTTGTCTTCGTTTTACACACACAACACTGTGACATCAATATTGAAAACTTGAAATAGAAACACCAAAGAAAATAGTAGAACCATCGTTTTTATCTATTATTTTTTAGCGTGGAGTTGAGGATGTTAGACATTGGATGCGTACGGCTCAATCTCGTTTAGAAGAAGCTACAACAAGTGATTCCCGTATTTTAGAAAATCAACTTAGTAGAAATCAGGTATAAATAATGTTATTTTTATACGGTTTGAAAATGAGTTAAATGTTTTCGTTTTTTTTTTTCAATTAGACTTTACAACATGAAATACGTGACATGCAAACAACAATGAATAGATTGAATAGAGATATTATTGAATTAACACACGATGCTGATGAAATTTTTGCTCGACGTTTACGTGATGAAATGAAAGATTTGAATACTAATTGGAGTCGTATTATAAGTTCATCAAAAACACACTCACAATATATTCATGTAATTATGTTTTAATATTCATTTATTTATTTATTTAAAGGTTATCATATTCTTATGATTTTATTTTACTATTTTATTTAATAGGATGCATTAAAACGAAATAAAGAAATTTATGAATCAATACAAGAAATGGAAGATTGGATTAATGATAAAGATCGTGAATCACCAGCTGATGATGGGCCAATATTTTATCCAGATCAAATACGTGAAAGAGTTGAACAATATCAAGTATGGATATATATCTATTAGATTACAATTGATTATTTATTTTTCATTATTTCTATTTTTAGAGAATACAAACTGAATTAAGTTTTAGAGAACATGATGTTAGACGATTAATTGAACAAGGACGTACATTATCACATACAATGACTAGTGGAATATCAGATTTATCACAAAGTTTAGAAAATCTTGAAACAAATTGGATAAATTTACAGAGAAAAGTTGATTCGAAAGTTCAATATTATTCAGGAATATATACATTACATGACGAACTGAGAAGTATATTCTACAATAAAAAAATTCTTTTTATTTTAAAATAAAAAAATGTGTGTGTGTTCTAGGTTTATTAAGTCATGAAACAGCGTGGCTTGATACATTACAAGACAAAATTTTAACATCGGTAAATGGTGGAGCTGATGCTGAAGAAATATCAGAAGAATTAGATGTAAGAATTGATTTTTTTTTTGTTTTTATTTAATATCAGATAATTTTTTTTTTATATTTCTTCTTATTAGACATTAGAACATTTTGTTAAAAATCATACAAGAGTAAATTATGAGAAAATAATTGAAATTTTTGAACGTTTACAAGCAACAAAAGTATCTATTCCGGCTATGGGAAGTCAAATAAATCAATTTAAAATACGTTGGGTACAATTACATGAAGATGTATGCAACAAAAAAAAAAAATATTTCTAAATTTGAAAAAAAACAAAATATATATTAAGTTTTACATTATATTTTAGGCAAATAAAAAACTTTATAGTTTAAATCAAGCGATAACGGATTATCAATATATGGGACATCAAATAACAGAGATGCGTGAATGGTTACGACATACGGATGCAACAATAAATTCAAGATTAGACGATAATGTTTTTGCTGATGATGTTCCAAGAGAAGCTGAAGTGAGTAAATAAATATAAAATGATAAAATATATTTATCTTTTTCATTTTTTTTTATTATATTAGAAATTAATTCAAGAATTTAATCAGCATGAAGTAATATTAAGAAGTATAGAAGACAAAGCTCATACATTAAGAAGTACAGGAAAGAGTGAAGCTGCTAAACGTCTTGAACAACAATTAGAATTTTTAAAGGTACATATTAAATTTTTTTTTGTTTAAGAATTTTTTTTATTCTATACTTAATTTTTTTACTTATATTAGAGTCAATTTCTCAATCTTCAAACAAAATTTCGTCATTTTCAAAAACCTTCTGATTTTGAACCAAAATATGCAAGAATGAGACAAATTTTACAAGATGTTGAACAAAATATGCATATACTCGATGTAAGAACAGATGATCCAGATGTTATTCATAATCAACTTGATCAATGTGTTGTAAGTTAAAATGAATTCATTTGTTTGTTTTTTATATAAATTTGTCTATTTTATAAATAATTTTATTCTATTTTTTTAGAAATTATATAAAACATTAGCAGACATTAAATCAGAAGTTGAGTATGTTATTCGAATTGGACGTGGTATTGTTGAAAAACGTCAAATTGATGAGACACATGAATTGACAAGACAAATTGATCGTTTAAAACAAACTTATAATGAATTAGCTTCTAAAGTATGTTTCTCTCTATATTATCATTCTAGTAGTGGAAGTAGTACGTAATATTTTTCAATTTTATATTGAAATTATAGATTTCAACATCTAAAACTCAATTAGACAATGTTGAAAGACATATACGTAAATTTCGTAAAGAATATTCTCAAATTAATGATTGGCTCATTAAAGCGGATACTGAATTAAGAAAAATTGAAAATAAACAAGTATCAAAAAATACAAAAGAAGAAATTGATTGGATTCGAGTATGTTCATAAATTGTTCATTTTATTTATTTTATTTTTGTTTATTTATTTTATTTATTTTTTGCTCTTTTAAGACAACAAGAAATGATTTGAAAAAACTTGAAGTTAATTTTGAAACATTAAAATCTTTAGAACGTTCAACTGTTAAAGAAGCTGGCTGTCAACTACCATCATTAAACGAAAAAGTAATCGATTTAAAACGACAAATTGATCTATTGGAGAGACGATTAAAAGATAGATACGACATTGTAGAGGTAAGTGTATATAATTTTAATTTTTGTATACTTATATAATTTATTGTACGAGAAATAATGGAATGTAAGATTAGCATAAACAGTTTTATCAGACAATTATTTTTTCAAATACATCTTGTTCTGTATTAATACTAAACATATGAATGAATATAAATGAAATAATATTAGATATTTTAAAAGCTAACGTAGGCGCGACTATTGTAAAAATATACTGATTAATTAGGGCAAGAGAGTCAAATAGACTCATTTCTCTACTCTAATCAAGATGTATGTATATATTAATGTTTATTATTTCGTTAAAATCTAAAGTATCCCTCCTCTTCATTTTTTTTCCTTTTTCTTTGCCAAACAGTGCCAACACATATTATCTTATTATAGCTTATTATATGTATATGTAGGATTTTATTTTCAGTTGTAGATAGATCATCTGTTGTTATGTTATGTTTCACACACACACACACACACACAGCAGTAATATCTAGTTATATACGTGATTAAATTAGGTTAATGTCCACAAAAAAAAAAAAAAAAAAAAAAAGAAGAGAAAATTTATTATTCTCATTATGTAATAATATTCTCCGGTGATGAAATCTACAAAACCACAATTGTTCGTTTTTTCTTTTCTTATCATTGGAATATATTATTTATACTAATAGTACGATTACTACTACATATATCATCAACTAAAAATATTGAGCAATAATCTAAAATATCCTCCTTATTAAAACGTTAGTTACTCAGTAGAAAAGACAAGGTTTATTATATCAGAAAAAAAGAAGTAACTTAGTGCAAACAATTTTTTCCTATACAAAGAATTACATAAACTTATTTCTTTCTTTTTTTTTTTTTTCTCTGATAGTTAAAAACAAGTGCACATCGTTATCAGAACATATCTATAGCTGTATAATCGATGAATGACCTTCATAATTGTTTCCTACTCTCTAATTTATCAAAATATTGAATGTGTGTTTTGTATCAAGATTCTTTTCGTCTGATGTAATAAATCAGATACTTGTCACCACTGATCAACGTTTTAATAAGGACGATATTTAATATTCATAGCAAATAGTTCGATGAAGAATGTGCGGGTGTTAAATAATCTCTCACCTGTTATTTTTTCTTGCTATCTTAATCCATTTATCATACAATAGAGAACAATTAGCACTTCTTTCTTTTCTTTTTCTTCTTTTTTTACAGACCATCTACTTTCCAGGATTGATCGAACTTTGATGCATTTTTTCCTAACTTTCCTCCCTCCCCCTCCTCCCTGCTTTCGTTTACGAGCATAGATAACTAAGAATATCAAAGAAGACGAATAGATAAATACTATTATAAATATAGACGTTCAATTAAGACCAGTTACGCGCATCTCCATCCATCTTATATATATAAGACGTCAGATTATTTACTATTAATAGTGTTTGTGTTAGCCAGCTGAACATCAATATAAATGTGTGAAATAACCACAAAAATATCAATTCAGAGAAAATGGATGTTTAAGACCACTAACTGTTCCCGATAATCGATTTGTTTTGTTTTTATGATGTGAGAAAAATATTGAGATAAGATGTAGAAAATTCTAAGATTTTTGTAAAGTATAGGAGTATACTCATTTTTTTTGATCACTCATTATGAGAACATCTGAAGTCATAGAAAATAAAAAATATTAATAATAGATAAGTTATTCTTTTTTTTCTTCTTCTCTTCTTTCTCTCATACAAATTCAGTATATATATATATATATATATACAAATAATCTAACTAATATTTGTTTCTTCTTCTGTCTATTTTCCTTTGTACTTCCAAAATAACAGAAAAAAGAAGAAAATCCATACCATCCATACATTAGTTTTGAGAACGTCAAATGCAATAGCTATTGATAGTCAGTCATTATGATTTATTCATGCATATTGGCGCATAGTTGAGACAGAGAAAGAAACGAAAAGAAAAAGTTGTTTTTGTACCATTCAACAAAAATTGTACATTCACAATGAGAAAAAAAAACGAAGGAAAAAAAAATAAGTCTGTAAGATATTATCAATATGGTATATGTCACTCAATGCATCTTCTTCGTCTTTTATGTTATCTTAACAGAGTCCAACATATTTCCCCCTTCGTTTCTTTATCTTCGATCATTTTTACTTCTTCCTCTTTCATTCATTATTCATTAGTTCTAGGATACATCTAGAAGGAAAACCGCACACCATTATATCATATTTATGATCTAATTTTTTTGTTTTGTTTGTTAGTATTATTTATAAAACTCGTGGAACTAGTACAATAAAAAAAAATAGGAAAAAGTGTTATGTAACCTTGATTTTAATACTATTATTTGTATGTATAATTTTAACTATAATGTGATTTACACCTACTCATTCTGTTTCTTCGATTGTCAACTCAATGTGTGGTTTTACCTCTCTAATTATTATATTTTTACCTCCTACGTTATGACATTATTTGTCATTTTTTTTTACTCTTCTTTTTTTTCTTTTCCAATGTTTACCGATACACTGGAAGTCCCATGATCATCAGTCAGATATACTCTAATTCAATTCTTATTCCAAATAAGAAAAATAGCATGTATTTTCTCTTTAACTACAATAAAGATGTAGATAATAATAGTAATAGTTTAACAAAATAGTTTTTTTTATTCTAAAGATCATTGTTACTTGACGAATAATTTAATGTTGTCACCATATCTTTTTGAGTAAGAGTTAGTTAGAATAATTTCATATTTGTAAAAGTTTTCCTTCATTCTTCGTATCTTTCTATTCTTTTTATCAGTTTGGTGAGTATCTGTGCCATGAAAGAGTTGAACAAATTTTTTTCCACTAACGAGTTTACTAGAACTTGACATTTTATATGATAGCTATTGAAGAAGTAAGTAATAGTTCACTTTGATTTTTTGGTGATGATGATGATGACAATCAGCAGATGATCTTTCGAAAGATCATTGCAAGAAAGAACATTGATACTGGAAAAATGTCATGTAGATATGCTGTATTTTATGACGTACGAATAAGATATTCAAAACTGTTTATTTCATCATTCTAGTACCGACTATATTTATGAATATTTTTTGATATGATATGTATTATAAACATTATTTTTCCTATATCATGACTTTATTTAAACACAAATATATTTCTTATACCTAGTTTTTCGCCAAAATTTTTCTATTTTTCTTACATAAATCTGTGTAAGTATCTTTCTTTCTTTTTTATCGATCATTAGATAATGTGTTGAGCAAAAAGTGCCACCACCAAACACAATTTATTGTATAATGCCAATTTTAGTCATATTTTCATATAATAAGCTTTTTTAAGTTTTCTTTTTCTTGCGTCTATCAATATTGTGAGAGAACGACAATAGAAATACAAAAAAGTATAAACTATATACCTATATACGTTCTTGTTTTCTTCTATTCTCTATAGAAAAAAAAACAAAACAAAACAAAAAACTATAAACTACTTCTACCATTGCTACTTCTGCTACTGATAATAATAATATCACCATCATCAACAACAAACAACGACTGATTATTATCATCATCAACGTCATTTATTTTTTCATCTTTCACTGATAGTATTGTTTTTATAATAAAAATTAATCACACTTATTTATTTTTTTTTGTCCCGATTAGTAAATTACTGACAAATGAGAATATTCGATTTTTATTGTGAATATTCGTTTTTGAAATCAATATCTAATAGACAGTTACAAAATAGAAGACACTATGTAACGAACCATTGATTATTATTATTATTTGTTTAATAATGATTATAAATAAATATTCAAGTAATCGTTACGATGATCCTAGACGATATCATAATTTATTATATATACCGTTTGAATCAGGATATGAATCATCTGGTTCATCATCAACATTGTATCCAGTTGAATATATTATTTATCCAATAGGTTTAAAAAAGGTGAGCTATAAATAAACTGTAATACAGCAGCAACAATAGAATAATACTATTTTCAAACATTCTATCATATTTTTGATATACATAATAATCCATCGGTTATGTAACATGTTCGAACGAGCCATTAAATTATATAGTCTACCTCTGATTACACTTAAACAGAGTTTTGCATGGAATTTTCCGTTTTTATTCATGGAATTTCTATATTAATCTATCATTGTGATCTTCGATATACTTGCATAAATGTTACTGATCTATGTCCTAAGTTTCTGCTTTGACAATAAATCTAACACGTATTACGTAGTAAAAAAAATAAGAGTGTAGAAAAAAAGATCATCTAAGAACAAAACAAAAACTGTATTAGTTTATCTTCTTATATATCGCTTCCTTGTGTTTTTAATATGAATTTGTTTGAACACAATGTCGGCCACAGTGTCGGATGGTAGTGTTTCATAATACAATATTGTCTAATAAACGACATCTAGTGTGCATATAAATAAAGTTTTTTTCAAAACTTTTTTTGCGTATTATGAGAAACAATAATTCATCTCGAACCAGTTCCACCTCTCATCCCACTAATCAGTTCATCTGCACGTTTGATCTAGAAAACAGACATCATGATTTTCTAACGTTGCTCCCTATTGTAACCGGTGGAAGTATTTAATAGACAGTAAGCCGTAGTTGAATTTGTTGTTATTCAATAGAATAGTGTACATTATGTATGCTCTCGTGCGCGATACCGACGATGAAATGTTCTATTTCTACAAATTTTTGAATAGAATATAGAAATGGTAGTTTACAGAAGAAAATAAAAGATTTTAGTCTAATGACAGAATATACCGAAACAATCTCTTAACTCAACAAAAAATTAATCTGTAATATATCAGAATCTACTCCGTTTTATCTTTTTCTTCGAGTAACACCATGGAAAACGTGAAGCAATTACTTTTATTTCCAGTTCCGTTCTTAATTAGATCTCTAGGAAATCTTCAATGCCCACTAATCAGTTCTTTATAGAGCGAAGAGTCGCGAAATACTGTCGTGATTTGGACTGATTCTTGTTGAGTTATGAGATTTTGGTATTATGCAAACGATACTATGTATATTATGGGTTAACTCAGAGAGATACAATCGAATTTTTTCTTAGACTCTTTAGGTATACCATCAGTAGTAGATGCTTTTAACTTGATTTTGTAATCAATTGATGAGGACAGGAATCAGCAGCTATAAACATGTCAGATTCATATGTTTTCTTGTTAAAAAACTATTCAAAAGAAACTATGTTTCATATATTTTTAACACGCTAGTAGTGGAATTTAGTCAAGAAGAAGAAACAAATGATATTTGTAACTTGATTCACTCTATACTATGACAAATTATTACTGACAAAATTATTTTAATTTTGTATTTTCTTCTCTTCAGGGTCAAGTACGAAAACTTGAGGATGATCATCAGAAATTCGTTCAAATTTTTCAAGAAGTTATTATTCGTCTTGAAAAACTCGATTCGCTATTATCGGATGCTGAACGGGTGTTTGATCTTAACAAAATATCGGTAATTATTTAGGTTTGTATTTTGTTTAGCCTTTATATTATTTTCTTTGCTTTTTTGCTAGCAAATACAAAGTGAATTATTGAATGTTCGACCACAATTAGATGAATTATTGTCACTTGGACAAGAGCTTTCATCTAGAAGTGAAAAATACAGTAGATTAGTTGGACCCGATACTGACAGTATAACACGAAAATTTGAAGATTTACTAAGACGAATTAAACAAATTCAAGTAAGTTAAACTTTTCATTATTGTTAATAGTTTGAAATAATTATTCAAAGTAATCGAATATACGACAACATACGGACACATTATCATTATATATGTTTCAGTTCATAAATGAAAAAACAACTAATGAGCAGTTGGACGAAAAACTGTCTCACTTGGTAGGAACGATAAAATTCTCTTATCTTCTGCCTCTTTCTACCTTCTCCTCTATATTCTTTCGTTTGTTTGATTGTTGACCTATTCTTAGCTATTAGACAAGGGTTTGCTTTAATAGATTTAGTAACTGCAATTAATTTTTTATTATTATTTTTCGTTGTTGTTTTTATATTTATTTTTTCTTTTAAATAAGCTCAAAATCTTTTAACATTACGTGCTGGCTATCTGACCGCTTGAAATATAGTGCTCAACAATGACATCATAAGTTAGTAAAGCAGATCAGATGTATTCTTAGAATAAAATAATCATTCTTAAACTTCGAGGATAACAGAGTTGAAAATAAATGATGAAAGATTACGATGTTTCAGAATAAATCGGTTACTCTCTATATCCACATACCAGCAGTTCGGTTTCAATACTTAAATTTAATGTTTTTATCAGAATACTTGCCATACTATCTTCTATGAAAAAGTTCGTAAATGCGTTCCAACTCAAATAGTTCTTAGTTTGATTAAGTTTTCGTAAAGATCAGATTATTACAAAAAGAAATGAAGTATAGCATTAAGTAGTCCTTAAAATTTCTTAAACAATAACATTCTGAATTTGTTGGAAGCTTTGATAGACATGTGATCCAAATCGTCTCTTGCCAAAGTATCATTCTGAAAAGAAATGTTTGACAATTATTTCGATCAGATATTTAAAAAACCAATGCAAATAGGTGAGAGGATATCGGATTGCGTAAAATTTTTGATAAAAACTTTTCATCCCACCCATTTATTCTAAAGCATTCAATAGCGATCGACAGTCTGAACACGTTCAATAAATGATCGTGCATACTATTGACGATATTGTTTTTTTTATTTCCTACAACAAATGTTGAATTTATGTTCAATCAATCATTCTAGAGATCAAATCGTTCTAGTGGTTATAGTGAGGTATTTGTATAGACGAGTAAATCATTTTAGCTTTATTGCACTTACGCAAACGTACACACACACACACACCAAATGCAGTAGTTGGGATAAAACGCTTTAACTTTATGTTGAACACACTTTTTTTAAAGTTCTCAATTAATTTTCTTAGTCACAAATAATCACAACAATAAAAACGCACTTTATCCTTAGATTTAATTTTTCGCGTTAAGAAATTTATATTTAATATGATATAATTAAAATTAAGGAGTATACTTAATCTAATATTGCTGGTGAAGAAATTTTTCAAAATTATTTTTGTTGTTCTTTTATTTTTCATACGCCGATTTTTCAGTATTGTGGATATATAAACAATCTACACGAAGCTTGTTGCACACAAAATTGCAATTCTTCTTTGTAGGATCAACAGGAAAAACTTAGCAAAGAACGTAAGGATTACATAGAAAAAGAAGAATATGGTAATCGTCAACAAGAAAATAATACTACGAGTAGCAGTTGGGAGCGACAAGAAAAAGATTCGACTACTCGTCGTGAATACTATCGGGAAAAAATACACAACCGTCATGAACGTGAATCACGTCACCGTTCACCATCAGAATCTTCTGATATATCAGCGGGAGTAGGCATCATCGATGAAGAATTTAAAAAAAAATATCTTCGTTGCCTTGCTTATATGAAATTAATTGAAAGGTTATATGATGCAGGAGAGGATAGTGATGATTCTGATTTGCATACGACAAAAACAACAAGACGAGTATGAATAAGTTCATTTGTTTCTAAATATAATCATCGACAATAGTCTGTTTCTGTCTATTTGTATCTGAATGTGTTATATTATATTGATAGTATAATATTTTTTATCTAGCAAGTTTTATCGCCGCATTTGAGCTGAATCGTCGCACAGCTTAGATTTTAAAACACAATTTCTCAGTTATACATTTAATAAAGACGCGCTCAATCGCTATGCATGACAGTCGCTTGTATTTAGGTTTGTTTTTTGCACGAGCGTATAAATATATAGATATAGATATGTTTGTGTGTGTCTGTATTTTGTATGCCTTTAATGTGTGATCTTTAAAACACTAACGGATGTGGAAATCTTTTTATGTTAATTATATTCACTGTTCACTCTTCTTTAAAAACCGTTAACGCTTACATTAGCATGATTCAAAATTTTTTATATTTTTTTAGGAACGAACAACCCATGATAGATCGGAATATGAGGAAATTGAAAAATTTATACGTGAAACAGAAGAACGTGCTTATGTACTTGAAAAAACAGATGTTGATCAAGCACGACGAATTCGTGAAAAAATAAGACTTTTAAGGGTATGTGACAAGTTTGAAATTATCAGATGTTTATCTCGTAGAAATTAGTTGGTCATTGACGCTAATCATACATGATATAGGGAGACAGTAAATCTCGGTAAACGTTAGTAAAAATTCATGCAATTAAAAACTTTTATTCTCCACTTCATCTCTTCTTATTTTAACTTATTTCTTCTCTGTATGCTTCATAGGAATATTTGGATAGTCTTAAACAACGACAGTATCAATCTCAAACGAATGAAGAAATTGTTCAATATAACACGCGGGTAGAAGAACGCATTCATAGACATGAGAGAATAGTTCCACGTGAAAGGGTATGTATCGTATAATTTAATTATCTCTTTTTTCAACACAGTTTTGCTATTATAAAGTACTTCTGGGACGTAATTTAAGCGAAGATAAACTAAAGGTCAACTATTCTTCGGATAGTTTCGAAAGCAGACGCTAAAAAACGATTAGATGGGAAAAGAATATCCACTATCTGTGTCATCTTGCTGTATCGAATTCTCTTTCGCTTATGGTAATATTCTCAAAAGACCGTCAAATAGTTCCATTTAAAATGTATTTATTTCATCTAGTACAAAACTCTAGCCACATCACATAAGACAAATGCTATCAGAGCAAAAACGTGTAAGAATAGAAAACGTCTGGTTCATTTTTAATGCGTTTTTCCTCTTACAAGAACTTTTGAGGTCCCGATCAGAATAATAACCTGTCTGAAGTAAACTTGAGTTGTAGACGAGTAATTGAATATTATTTATTATGAAACAATACAAATACACTATCTTAGTTAGACCTAAATAGCTGATATTTCTATCTTATCCTATTTATTCTTCTTTCTATTTTTAGGGTGAACTTGATTCCGATTTTATATACGATGTCGATGATACCCGATCTGTTATCAGTGAACCGGCTCCACATTATAATAGATACCGAAAGACAGTCCATTCATTAGAACGTCATAGGTTAGATCAACAACAGAGACATCAACAACACTATTATCCTCAAGAAAGCGAATATTATCTTCAACCATTGTTGCGTGTCAGAAGTTTGAAAGCGATTGATCGAGCATTAAGTGCTCCATCATCCCCAATTTTACAACCGAGATATCGTTCTTATGAACGAAGCAATGTAAAATACACAAAAGACATAAATACCAAACGTTCCGGGAATGTCGATAATTATCAATCAAATATATCTAAATCTCAAAGTCTACCATCTTCACCGTATGGATTTCCATTACAACCGTATTCTCCTCCATTTATACAAGTTAGACAACAACCGCTAATGTACAGAGAAAGAGTTATTGATAGAGAAATTGCCGAGCGTAGTCATTCACAGGGAGAATCATCACGACAAGCACATGAAGCAACATCTACACGTCAGGCACAACAACAGCAGCAACAACAAGCAGGCGCTACTTCATATAATACAGTACGTTCAAGCAATGCTGATGAAAATTTCTCCAGTCGTTCAATACCCGTGAAACGTGAAACTGCTACAAATGGAGGTGATTTTGGTGTTGGACGAGAATCATATAATATCTATCAAAATCAACGATATTCAGGCCAGGGCGGTGCGACAACGAATGGACATGATGTTTATTCTTATAGAGATTATCATAATGGTCAACAAATACCAATAAATACATATTACAATGATCGTACAATAGATCAAAGAGGATATCCAGATCAATACAGTCAACAGCAATATCAAGGAGGCGAGGGCAGCAGCGGTAGTTATCGTCAACATTACAGTAGTGGAGGAGCACAGCAACAGTATTATCCTCAACAACATCATCAAGATTATCCATCAGCAAATTATAGACCAACAAACGATTCTTATTATGACCAACAAGCACCGCATCATCGTTCAAATCATCCTTCACATCACCATTATTCATCAAAAATAGTCAATTAAACTCAATTATCATCTTGTAAAATACACTACCACCTCTTTTCTTGATCGCAATAAACCGAAAACTCTTTCTCTTGGAAAAAACAAAAAGTTCAATATGAGGAGAATTAGAAAATCACACGATTCCTTATATAAAACAGTTTTCCTTTTCGTTTTAGATATGCATGTGAATTTCATTTTTATTTCTTGTTTTATTCGTTTTTATTTATCTCATTCAGGTTTTAAACAATCAGCTCATTAGAGCAATGAAATGATAAAACTATAATGCTTGTGGTTTTGAATAGCCGAGAGTTTATTATATTCTTTTTTCATATATCAGAATACATCATGAATACGGTTATCGAGGATCTGATTATTTGTTTGCAAAGTTTATTTTTTCGGAGATCAGTAACAAAGCATTAGTTAACCTGATTACTTCTTTAAACCGTCATAGTGTTTGTTTTGTTTCTTCTGAAATGGTTTTTTTTTGGTCGTAAGTGTGCGCGTGTTGATAGAGTTAAAATTTAGAACATAGTGTTTTCTTTTACTTCGTTAAAACTTTATATTTGTTTATTTTGCTTTGATGAACTTATTCATCCTTTGTTCTAAACTACTCTCTTTTGTTTCTGCCTTTTCTCTTTGCTCATTATGAAATTTGTTTTTTCGATAAAGTTTTGAACAAGTGTTTTTCATTCGACATTTTTTTTATTTGTACAGTCAATTGGCTTAGGAAAAATGATAAACGTATCAAACTGCATTGATATCGTTGAGAGAAATATGTTCTCCGTCAAAGCTATAGACTACACACGCACACACATATTTAATATCGCCAAAATGTTGGCAACTGTTGTTCAAAACAGTTTTTCTTTTTTTTTCCTACATAAACCAAGAAGCAACTCATTTTTTTGTTTCATTTTGTACAAGTTAACGAATATTTTTTAGTACAATCTTCACAATAAAGATATAATTATTATTAACAGAAAAAACTGATACTGTAAAAAAAACAACTAACTATTATTCTACAGTGTTCAGTCAAATAGGATCGAACACAAAACGTCTTGCGCTCTACCAAACGTCCTGTATGCGAAATTAAATGAAAAATCTAAATCGCATAACAATAGTAGAAATAGCAATTTTTGGAAATATCAACCTTTGTTTATGTGATATTTTTATTCCTTCTAATGGTTTGGGTTAATCTGAAGATGAATTATCACAGCAAAACTTTATTGAAAAGCGAGAGATGATCTAATCGAATAAGTAGTCTATTGAATACACAAAACTCAGCAAATCGCGCACATAGTTTCACATATTTTTTTTTTCGTACAAATGAATTGTAACAATGTGCTTGGTTTCCTATATTCGTATCGAATAGCATGTGGCCAGACTGAAGGTCCTAACTCTTCTGGTTATTCAGATTTTTTTCTGACTTTTAACGTTTTCTAATTTACACTGCAGAAAGTGGCTTTTGGAAACAAAGACTGAACATCAAGGTTTAAGTTTAATTTCTTCTGTAATCCGTACAGGAAAAACAAGGAAAAAGCGGCAAAAATAAGATTGATTTAAAAAAAATTAAGCTGTAATCGCAGAAGTGCAGAATTCGCCCGTAAGAAGGAAAAGCTTTTCCCCAACGGAAATATTTCTAAAAATTTCCCACTAGTGTCAGAATATTTTCTTCTGTAGTTATTTTCCAACAAAAATTTTATTTTACTAAAGCTTTTCTGAAACATTCCCCCAAATCAAAGACTTTTAAAACGATTACAGTAATCGTTTCCCCTATGTTATGGGCAAAAAAGAACGTCTTTTAATTTTTGGCACTTCGCTTTTCTGACTTTCAAGGTTTTTCTTTTGATTTATTAACGCTCTGAGTTGACAACTTTGAACAAAGTACAACTCTGTCGTAGAAATCTACGGTGAAATCTTGTTCTGACGTAGTGTTGACAGTGGGTTTCCACACATAATCATATTTAGAATTGTGTGAAATATGCGTAGATGATGAAATATGTACATGAATGAAGGTTATTTTTATATCATAATTAGATTGATACTACTGAAATTGACAATTCCATTGTATCTGTCTCTACGTAATCTTGACCCAATCCGTTGTGTCGTGCTACGTGATCATAAATATAAACCATTAAATAACAGAAAATGTACGTGTGAACACGAAGAGAAAAATAACATGGTTGCTTTTTTGTTGTCAGAAGGTCATAACTGTATACTTACAAGAAAAAATGAAGAAGTACACCACTACTACACAGTAATGGTGATTGAAATACACAGGACAGGTCAATGATCTTCCTATTCTTGGACTACTATGTGTCTGTCATTTGTACTTCTACAATTTATTTTTTGTCGTCATTATTTATTTTCTATGGTTTGCTTGCTGTATCTAACTAGATACTTTTGAAATAATGGGTCCACATTAATATCTTTACTTCCGCTATATTTAGATTTGGGTCAAATTTTCTGTTCCCGTATAAGAATTGCCCTAGTTACTTTTGTTCACATTCAATAAAAATACAATTTCTCGGTAGAGAATTCTATTCAGTAACGTTGAGAATGCAGATTATAATACGCTCTGCGTGTAGGTGAGACAAAGGATCCGTTTGGCTATTAATTATAACTTTATATTAACTTAATTAATTATTGCTAATCCGGTGAATCGATAAATTACTCTGCTGATTTGTTACCTAAAAGATACTATCTGATATATATTTTTCTTCAAAAAACGTTATTACTCTACCAGTTTTATATGGTAACTTATTTTCTATTTATTATTTTACCAATTAAGGTGTGTCATGAATCCTGTTTGCTAAAATCCATCTTGAGAAGGCTCAATTATTACAGATGCATCAAAATAAACTTTTATTTAATGGTACTACATCCATTAGCGTTTACATCCATGTTATGCTGTATTTAATCTGAAGTGAAATAAAAACAGCGAGTCTCTTATTTTTACGTCATCTTTATACGCATAACCAAGTTAAGACTGGAGACAAACAAACACATATTCAGAATCTATATCGAGTTCTCTATCGATTGCTAAAAAAATTTCTAATTTTGTATTTTCTAAGCTGTGGAAAAATAACAATACATTTTTCTAGTGAGTTTTCCGAAGAGGCGTATTCAGTAAAGTGCGTGCGCGAGGAAGAGCGACGCTCCAATTTGGATAAAACTTTCACCAAATGTTCTTCTATATACTACCTGTTAAGGCAATCAGCACAATTCAGCACAAATACTCTTGTGCCGAGTTGTGGGTTTTCCCCGCTAAAATGTTCCAAAATTTGATAAAAATAGCATATTCGGAATCAGCGCAAAAACCTACATCGACTGATGTACAATAAGAGAGGTTTTTGATCCAAAAATGACAGATTTTACAAAATCCTGCGGCTGAAGACATTGTTCACGAAGTTTTCTACTGCATATTCGAACATCAGTTGTAACATCAGGCTGAAGCCTATAAAATATTTCAAATAGGTTTTCGAGTGTGCTCATTCCAGTGGCACTGCTTTCAAAGACCCAAAACAATTTTTAAGAGGTTTTCCAGAGGCCGAATCTTTAGAAAATCATTTAAAAGCCGTTTTTGGACTTTGAAAGCAGTACCACTGGAATGAGCACACTCGAAAATCTATTTGAAAATTTTTTGTAGATTTGTACTCTGCTTTAAAAAGACATGCTCGTCTGCCTAGCCAAAAATGCACACTGTGCCAAGGAATTTCCAGTTTATAGAAAATCAAAAAGAATTCTACTTTCTTGAAAATTATTTATGGAAATTCAACGAGAATTTTCTAGCTTGTTGGAAATCCGATTTTCTATAAACTGGAAATTCCTCGGGGAATTCCCATAGGTACTCTTTGAAATTCGCCGAGCATTTTCCATAAATAATTTCCAACCTTACAGTGTACTACTACTATATACTGTAATAATATGGTAAAAGTTAAAGCTGTGCTTTCGCGTTGCCTGTATTCACGAAGCAAAACTCCGAAAATGAGCGTTAACGCTGAATCAGAATATTCACAAATCGTAATAGCATACATATATGGACTCCGAAATTTTTTGAATAACTTTTGAACAAAAACTGCTAAACGTTCGCGGTTTTCATTAATCGAGAAACATTGATCTATGATGGCATTAAGTTCTAATCATCGCCTGTAGATCGTGTACCTTGTAAATATAAGAAGATTATCATTTCCATGTGAAGACAGATTATTATTAGAGAAAATATTCATGTTTTGGATAAACACGAAATTCTTCGTCTTAAGACAAGTATAGATGTAAAGTAATCGATGTGAATATTTCATACTTTATATTTGTCTCAGTCAACTTGAAAAGAAACATGAAGCACTCGGAAATGTTGCACATAATTCATTCAACGTCTCAATACCAACAAAAAACAACTGATTTTTCGCCGAGAGATAGTACAGCGAAGGAATTTGCTATCAGTTGCTTTCTTCTACTCCAGCAATTAGATTTTGAGTGAGTAATTTACATACGTCGCTGACTTCCGACAAGAAATAAAACAACTGGTTTGAGAGCAAAGATAACTTGTAACTGGAAAGAGTTTGTTTGTTGCAGAATATCTTAAATCGTTTCCTTTCACTTTGTCATACATTTCTGAGCAAAAAACTGTTTATCAACGAAAAATCTTTGCATCTTTCTTATTTTATTATTATATTTGTAAATGTATTTTTCATATTTTGCGATGATAGTTTCTTTTTTATATCGTTGACCACATAGTAGATTTTTTTTGTTTCATCATCTCATTTAACTTTTTTCCAATTTAAATCTATCTGCGTTTTTATCGCTTTTGTACAAAAATATCAAGTTGAATTAAAACAGATTAACGAACGCTTTCGACGAATAACAAGTGATTCTCAGAACTTAGAAAAGCGTGATAATGAATTAAATCAAAGATGAAACCAGGTTCAAGAAGAAGCGAAAGTGTTAAAGTAACTGATATTTCTTTCTTTAATTTATAATTCAACGGTAGTACTTATCTTGTTTGCTGGTTCAGGGTATTGATTATCGATCAGAAAAATGCGAATGATTTAATTGATAACGTCGATAGTTAAAACTCTCCGCAAAAAAGGGGAACAAATACGACTCAACAATAATCAGACAACGAGCGGTTATACTTAAATACCCAGTTTTATCAAAAATTACAAGGTAGATACAAGCACTTCTCCACAGGACAGTTTCTTTTAACATAAAATTATCAAATTTACCGAATTATCAGCGAACTCGAACAACACGGTCCTGCTGTGGAAAATAAAATAAATATAGGACAGCAAATATATCAGGATAAAGCTGTTAGTAGTAGAGCAGATAGCGCAGGTAAAATAAAAATAAAAATTAGTTTCGATTTGTAAAAAATTAAATGAGACCTACATTATATATATATACCTTACATTAGTACATCATGAAGTTAGATTTCTGCAAAGATAAAAGTGAAAATTTTCGTTTTGGCATCAAAAGTATTATTATTGTTCTGCTTTCATCATACATAATTTTTCCTAAGTGCACTTCTTTGCCGTTAGATCAATAATCATTTTTCTCTGAACTTCAGGAGAACAGGATTTTTATATTGGTAAATCCTTGGACTTAAAAAAAAATGTTAGCTAGCAGGGTTAACCCTTTCTTTCCCGATAATATTTATAAATACTATGTTTTGATTATTATATCCTTTGGGCTGTAAGTACACGCAAAAATAAACTTTGCATAAACGTGAAGACTATTAATTATAGATTTCAAATTAATAATCAACAATTATCGATGATAAAAAAGTTTTTCAATATTCAAGCCAATATACAAAGAACACGTCAACAAAATCACATTTTTTCTCAAATTCTTGTATTAGATACAAGCTATCATTATCGTATGGTTCACAAAAATGACACACTTTTGTTTTTAGATTTGTTCGTAAATATGCATCGACTTCCACTCAAAACTTTAATTTAAAAGTTTTAAACCATCGTCAAAAGATGTAGAGTTTTACCAGAAACTTTATGGTGTAGTTGCAGTATAAAGTTGGCTTCATAGCAGAACAGGGTAAGATTTATGATGACGCAGTAAGACTATTCAAGACATCTCACTTTTCCGTATTCTTCGATCAAAAGAAAGACTGTTTCTAAAACGAAGTCAACTGATTTGTAGAGGATTAAATTTAAGCCGAATGAGCTTTAGCGCAAATTATTCCCCGATGAATACCCAGGAAGATATCTAAAAACAAAGATTTGTTATTATTTCTGGATCTTTCGATAAATTAACGTTTTCTGAGTAAATTTCATTTCCAAACCTTCAGGTTTAGTAATGGGAAAGAAAGAGTAAATGCTAAAAAACCTTAAAAATATCGTCTGAAAGTATAATGCCATCATCGAAACTAATATTTCTAAAGGATAATAATCGTTTTTCAATTGGTAGATCCTAATCTAATCAGAAAAATGGATCTCGTTTGGTCAAATGAATGAATGAATGTAAATGACATGAATAACATGAGAATATAGATTCATTCAATGTCACTATAAACTTTCCTATCGCAAGTTATATTAGCTAATCATTCTCAATGCGCTACATTTAGACCGTAACGATCATTCAAATCTCTAACAACTACTTCTAGACGAGCTGAAATTATTGTTTCCGATACTTATGCTTTGATTAATCCGCAATTATTCGGAAGTCAGTAATTCTATGATATACGATCACTGACCGATGGCCGTCAAGTTCTGTCATTGAGTAGGGTGTTGAACACGTTTCTTTTTAAAGGGTTTTTGTATCAATCTTGGATTACAAAATCTCAAAATACCCCAACATTTCTTAATCGGAAATTGAGTGAGTGGTCATCGACTAAAGCCATCTTATATATAGCTACTATAACATTAGTGAACGTTGTCATTTCATCGACTTTCTAGTTTTTGCAGAACACTTGTTCTTTCTCTTTTTTTCTCTCTCTTTCTGTGATCCGATTCAAATCTTATATCCTATATCAACCAAATTTATTTTTTATCTTTCATGAACTCTCTGATGCATACTTTTAATGCCATAGTTTGCTGCAAAGCGTCGAAAATACATATGAGTAGGGATGTTCGGTTCTCGGGTCTGGAAGCGTTATGACGGTTCTCGACTTAGAACCGAAGCGAAAGAAAACGCGGTTCCGGTTCCTCATGCGGAACCGAACCGCGGTTCTCAGGTTAGAACCGAAAAATAATTTTTCAGGCAGTAACAATTCAATGAAATAGAATTTATTTTATAGTAAACGAAAGGATTCTTTTAAATGATGACAGGCAAATATATCTTTTCATATCTTTGTCAGTAGCGTATTTTCATTTTGTTAAAAGAAAGACAAGTCAAAAAGTCTTGGTTCCGAAAAAAACCGTCGAACAAACTGCGGTTCCGATTCCCGATGAAGAACGGAAAATAAAATAACCGCGGTTCTGGTTCTTCATGAGAACTGAGAACCGAACATCCCTACATATAAGTATATCTACTTTTCTTTTTTCGTACCAACACTTCAATGAGGAAGAAATTGTGCCACAATATTGCATGGATCATATTTTAAAAAGCTCTTATTTCCTGTAAAATTCTAGTTTTTGATTTTATATGTAATATGTGTTTGATCTTTATTTACTTTTTAGATGAAACTTACGTTCTAAAAAACGTTCTGATTTAACTTTACGAAAAGTTCAACGTAATGTTGTGCAACTTAACCATCAGTGGAAACATGTAAATTTATAAATTAAAAAACATTTACAACAATTACAGTGTGCACAGACAGTGAGAGACGAGAAAACGTTTGGTATAAATAATCATCGCATATATTTTAGAGTGTCATTGGCTTATTTCAAAAGTGTAATTATTTGTCTAGTCAATTGAATGCTTATGATTTTCAGAAGTTTCAAAAGCCGGAAATACGTTCGATAAGCGTAGAGCGTATTCCCCTCAAAATTGAACAGTCAAAGGTAAAAGATTCTTTTTATGAACGTTGATCGATAAACAATATTTACTATACTTTTATTTTTTAGCTTGTTTTGTCAAATTTAATGTCATGTAAATCAGATATTAATATTATTAATCAAACAGCAAGAGATGTTGACTCGGATTTTAGTATAACTCCATACGCACAACAAACAGATCGTATTCAAGATATAAATAATCGGTAAATTAGACTGCAGTCTTCTTGTAACTATACTCTTTGTCATTTTACCTTTTTCGTCATATCAGATGGAACGGTCTAATATCCTCTATATCTCAGCGTGCTCAGGTTTTACAAGATCTACGTTATCCTTCCGAAACAGAGCGAGAATCATCAGCAAATCCTCACTCTGTTGAATCACCTTGGCAAAGATCAACTGCGTCAAACAAAGTACCATACTATATTAAGTAAGAGTGTGACAAACATCAACTCTTCTAGTTTTTTTGTCGTGTAAAAACGAAAATACTTCTATGCAATAATTATATCCACATTTTTTGTTTCAGTCATTTTGATCGATCAACTTCTTGGGATCATCCTGAAATGCTTGACTTAATGCGTTCGTTTTCTAATTTGAATGACATCAAATTCTCTGCGTATCGAACTGCTATGAAGTTACGGACATTACAAAAACGATTATCTCGTGAGTGTTTCACTCTTACTTTATGACCAATCCATTTTCCATTTGCTATTAACTGTGTATTTAGTGGATTTGACATTACTCGGGAATGTAATAAGCGTCTTTGAAAAACCATTAGATTCTGTCAATTCTTTGTCAAATTCAGAAAATTACATTGATGTAGCAAAAATTTTGTATTATTTACAAAATATATTTGAAAAAACATCAAGTGAATATCCACAGTTGTTAAATGTCACAGTAACAGTTGATATGACATTAAATTGGCTGTTGAATGTGTATGATACGTAAGTATTTTACTAATCTACATGTTTTATCTTTCATCACTATTCTTATTCGTTTAGATCTCGGACAGGAACGATTCGTTTATTATCCATGAAAATTGCATTATCATTACTTTGTCGTGGAAATATTGAAGAAAAATATCGATGTAAACATATCAAATGTTAACATTTAGCGACTGTCCTTTCTACTTATTTCTTTATTTTAGATATATTTTCACTTGCGGCTAGCGAAGGTGAGACAAAAGATGTGGTTAATAGAAAAAACTTATCAATTTTATTCCATGACGCAATAATGGTATGGTGTGTGAGTTACTCTATTTTGTCAGGCTAAATGTTTACTTTTCTTTGAGATACCCAAGCAACTGGGAGAAGTAGCTGCATTCGGTGGATCCAGCGTCGAGCCATCGGTAAAGAGTTGTTTCGAATATGTAAGTATTTTAAAACGGTATGTACGTTTCTTAGAAATCACTAACATATTTTTCTGATTTCAGGCGAACACTCCTGATGCTATCACCGTTAACGATTTTCTTGAATGGGTAAAACTCGAGCCTCAGTCTCTTGTCTGGCTGCCCGTTATGCATCGATTAGCTGCTAGTGAAACGGCCAAACATGAAGCACGCTGTAATATTTGTAAAGAATATCCACTTATTGGTTTTCGATATCGTTCATTGAAACACTTCAATTGTGATATTTGTCAAACCTGTTTTTTCTCTGGGAGACAAACAAAATTTTATAAACTGGATGATCCATTACAGGAATATTATACAGCTGTATGTATCACTTTAAAATATAAACTTTTTAAATTCTGTTATTATATTTCGATCCATATATTTAGACAACAGCGTCAGAAGATATTCGAGATTTTTTTCGAATATTTAGAAATAAATTTTGGTCAAAACATCGTAAACAACCAAAATTAGGCTATCTTCCATTATCTTTAACATTCGATGAAACAAATTCACTAATAGGTGTTGCTACTACCGCAACACCAACCCAGTAAGTCTTGAACTGGACTTTCTCTTCTGGGACTAATATTTCTAATATACATTTAACTCTTTGCTGTAGCTCTATCGATATCATTAATTCTACACCAGATACAATTTTTGCTACTAGCGCACCTGCCCAACAGATTGCAACTAAATCGTAAAGAAACAAATCTCTTGAATTAATCACAGTCTTTAATCTTTTTCTTATAGTGACGATGAACATTCGGTCATTGCTCAACATTGTCGAAACCTAAATAATTTTATTCAATCATCCGTATGTATTTTTAGAAATTGTTTATCGCATAACGTATGTTAATCAAAGTACTCTGATATTTCTTTTTATAGCCTCGACCACCATCAGCATCAATGTTATCGATAGAATTATTAACACGATCATCATTAGATAGTGAACAACGTCATGAGTTAGAAGCAATAATAGCTGATTTAGAAGATGAAAATCATTTATTACAAAATGAATATAATCGTTTATGTAAACAACATATTGAAAAGTCACAATTAATAAATGAATACAATATTTCATCTAATGAACAAATGATGTCTTATAAAGATTTAGAAATGTTACGTGAAGCAAAGCTGTTACGTCATCATAAATCTAAATTAGAAACAAGAATGAAAATATTAGAAGAACATAATAAACAATTAGAATTACAATTGAACAAATCAAAACAGTTACTAAGACCGGTAAAGGGTATTCGGTTTTTATCGTTTTTTATTATTTTGATGTTCATTTAACTTTAGTCGAACACACGTTCACCACCTTTATCACAACAATCAGTTAGGCAAATAAATCTTGGATATATGTCAGGTGCGAAATTGCTCAGGATAAAATAAAATCTGATTACAGTCTTTCTCTTAGCAGGTGATGGAGATAGTAGTCCGCTCCAAACATCAGGCACATCTTTAAGAAGATCAGTTGAACGAAGCTTGGAACGACAGCCAAGTAAGTCTTTTGTGCAATAAAAATTTCATTTCCTTATTGTATTGATTTATCTAGATCTTATTACCATCGATAATTTATTTTCAATGGCTGATGACATTAATCGGGCTGTCGTCGACCTGGTGCAAGTTATAACCGATCATAATGGGCTGCCGTCTCAGCAACCATCTCATTATCATCATAACGATCGATACCAGTCAAGATCTGATAATGAACTGAGAACGTGATATGCATGTCTATGTGCGTATGTGTTATTTTTATTTGTAGGATGTAACTTTTTGGGCATTTTTCTTACTCAGGATATTTCAATGACTTTTCGAAAGTCTATTTTTCTCTTTTTTCTTTGTGAGATAATCAGCAGTATTTCGTTATTCTGTTTGTCAGTTCATTCATCAATATCGTAAACAACGAACATATTATTATTATTAGTATTATTATTATTGTTATTATTGTTATTATCATTTTTATTATTATTATTATTATTATAATACTCAGGTCTATACTCAAACTCATTTTCTTGTTCAATTCTCCGAAAATAAGAAAATACATTTTACAGAATTATTTATTGATTTACATTTTACTCTGTTTTACTATTTTTAAGTTTTTTAATGGGTTTCCTTGTTTTTGTAAACTTTATAATAATAAAAATTTTTGATAATACAAATATATATACAGAATAATGGATTAGGGCGTAATTTGGTACGCATTGAGCAAAAATATGCATACGACTGATTCTTTTCGGGTTAATTAAAGAAAAATTTTGTAGTTTCTATTGTTGTTTTTCCTTTATCAGATGTTTCGTTTATCATCTGTTCTTGCTCGAACATGTGTGAAACCATCACAAATGGTTCGATCGCTTACATCGTTGAATACTGTTGCCGTTGAACAAGAAAAACTATTGGCCAAGAATGAAACACCACATCTTAGTGAATCTAAACGTACACCACTATTTGATTTTCATGTGAAGCATAAAGGACGACTAGTCAATTTTTCTGGATGGCAACTACCTGTTCAATATAGTGAAAGTATTGGTCAATCACACAAACATACACGAGCACATTCGGGTTTATTTGATGTTTCACATATGTTACAAATCAAAGTACATGGAAAAGATCGGATTAAATTTATGGAACAATTGGTTGTTAGTGATATTCAAAATTTAAAATTGAATTCATCCTGTTTAACATTATATACAAACAAAGCGGGAGGCATTCTTGATGATTTAATTATAACAAAAGCGTCTGATTATTTATTTGTTGTATCAAATGCGGGCCGGTAAGTTCAATGCTCCTTTTTTCTATAGAACATAGAGAAATAATACTCGTTTTATTTTAGAGCTGAAAATGATCTGAGACATTTGAATGAACACTTGGAAAAATCAAAGGATTTAAATGTAGATATTGAAGTATTATCTGATCGTGCATTGTTAGCATTACAAGTAAAAATGTGTAGCACTGGTTGTTAAACTTCATTTCTGTTCATGTTTGTCTCTTTTACTATTTTAGGGTCCATCCTCTTCGTCTGTATTGCAGAAGTTTGTTCCAATTGATTTGACAACTTTCGCTTTCATGCAGAGCGCATCAACTACATTTGCAAATACAATCCCGTGTCGTGTTAATCGATCTGGTTATACTGGTAAGCACGAAATTTTTCTGAAAGGCATAGTTTTGTAATTGCAGTTCACCCTAATTGACAGTGCTGAATAAATTAAAATTATGAATATTGACAATGTATGATATTGAATGATTGATTTTTTTATAAATAATTATTATGTGCTTAAAGTAAAATTTATTTTGTCTTTATTCAGGTGAAGACGGATTTGAAATTAGCGTCCCTGCTAATAATGTAGAACAGGTTGCATCATTTCTCTTGGAATCGAACGAAGTAGCATTAGCTGGTTTGGGTTGCCGTGATTCAATGAGGTTAGAAGCTGGCCTATGTCTATATGGAAATGATATTGATGAAAAGACAACCCCTGTCGAAGCTGATTTAACCTGGACTATCGGTAAACGGCGACGAGAATTAGCTGATTTTCCCGGTGCTGATATTATATTAGACCAAATTCGAAATGGAGTTGAACGAAAACGCATTGGAGTAGTATCAAACGGATCGTGTCCACGTTTTGGCGCTGAAATTACGGATTCAGACGGAAAAAAAATTGGACAAGTTACGAGTGGATGTCCCTCACCATCCCTTAAACACAACATTGCCATAGCCTATGTATCGACAAATAATGCTAAACCGGGTACGCGTGTCTATTTGACTGTGAGAAATAAAAAAATTGAGGGAAATATCGTCAAATTACCATTTGTACCAACCAAATATTACAAACCAAAAAATGTAACAAAACAATAATGGATCTAATTCAACTTGTTTTATTTTTCAACATAGTACCATCTAATTTTGTACGCTCTTATATTGCTGATAGAACTAACAATTATTCATTTTAGCTGCTAAAATATAAACTTTTAGATTTTTTTTTTGTGAAGCTTTCAGATACGATACTGTTTGTTAACTTTTTTTCTCGATATTTTTCGAAGGACTTTTTGCATGCTTTCACTTGTAATACATTTTTTTTATAGCTGAAATGGCAATACTTTTCTTAAATCATCGTTAATTTATTTTGATTCCACTATTATCATTTTGTAGTTTTCATAATTAAATCCGAAATTAACATTGTCACTGTGATATCTTTTTTGTTTACGTCGTCATTATGTGAAAAACACTAATCAAACAATAGTAATTTGTTACATCTAATTTTTTATTGAACCTTTCACAAAATAAAATCATTAATTAGCTTTCATTTAGGGAGAATCTAGCATGATTTACATTCGAGCTACGGCATTTTACTCTCTAAACAAACTACAATACAGCAAGATAGAAAAGAAAAGTTCATGTTGGTTTTCGACATATTTATTGTTAGAAAACGAAAACTAATGTGAAAATATAACAGTTATCGTACTATTCGTTGGTCATATAATATTTAATAATACCATGGGCAGAGATTCATTTCATTAGTATTCTTACGTAGCTTTTAAACGTAATTGACTATTTCAAGTCTCCGCTTGATTCATCGTTTTGACTAATCATAAAGTTTAACGTCTTTACTTAAGTCTGACTTAAGTATATTTACTCTAAATATAATGAGATTTAAAACATGTCATTATATCTTACCTAATTTTCTTCGGACTTTTATAAATAAAAAGTGTAATTTTTGAACAACATAGGAGCATATTTTTCAACTGCATAGAGCCCTCTTTCAGGTTGAGCACATCTCGGAGACATGTGACATCTAGACCGCATAGTATCTGACATTAAAAGCCTCTAGAAATATTCATAAAGAATCGAATATCTATTAAAGAAGCAGATGATAACACAAACTCTAAAACTCTCAAAATAGTCAGTTTTGGAAACAACATCGTTGTAGAGACTAGTCGAATGTTTTTTATTAGCTCTCTTTTATCCTCATGCTGCTTTATTTCATTTCGTCCTCCCTCGTGCTTTTTTTGTTCCATTCTTTTCTATTAAAAAGTTGTTTCATGTTTAATAAAGACAAAAAAGTAAATTAACATAATTAACATAATTTAATTGATGGAACCGAAGTTTTCAGGTTTGTTTCTGTTTTGTTACGAATAGAAAAACTAAGAATAATTATATGAGAACAAAAATAAGGAATTAAAAACTTTGCTAGTTTCTCTTTTGCCTATTTATCATGGCTAGAAATACTATTGTTTTGAAATTACATCAATTACATCAGTATTTTAATAGCACAGTGGCAAGAGGACTATACTTCACCATGAAAAACTAGAATCTACTGCAATTTTTACCATGAAAAAAAATTCGACTAAAAATACCGTATTAATATTTCGCCAACAATTTTTCTCCATAGAATTCGTTCGTTGCATTACTTTTGGTAGGAAAATATACCATCCTTTTCTCATTGTCTTTTAGACATGGACTGGCTCGACTCAGCTGGTGAAATCATGGAAGTTGCCACACAATCGGGTTTATACAAACAATTTTCACATTTGAAGACAGATTATGATCGTATTCAATTTATGCACGATCATAAACAATTATTAACAACTACGATAGAAAAATATCTAAAGGAACTTACAAACAATGGAAAAGATATAACAAAAGCAATATCATACCGTAAACAAGGAAATGATTGTTTTGTTAGTAAAAATCTTAGACAAGCAGCATGGCAAGTCGATAAAAGTGAAATGAAAATATTGCTAAATGAAAACTTTTTAGGTGTTACCGCGCTAGTGTAGCGATGTCGAATAAAAATAGTCAAGATATGGCATTATCCTATGGTAATTTATCGGCCGTTCTGTTTGAGCTGCGTCGATATCAAGAGTGTTTACGTTGCATTCAACTAGCACAAGACAATGGTTATCCAAATGAATTAAAATTCAAGTGCGTAAAGAATTTGTCTCCCTGGCAGCTAGCTTTTATCCATTGTTTCCCGCATCTTTGAGATTTGTTTTCGTTTATTTATACTTAAATCCTTTCTACTTCTAAAATTATAGATTTATATGCAGCTATCAGTTCGATTAAGATCTAATATAGGCCTGGGTTGAAAAGATGTACGGTAGAAGTCCAAGACAAACTCGAGAAATATAACAGGCGTATATTTTATCAACTAATAACTTGATCATTTATCATTTTAGATTAGTATTTCGACGCGCCGCTTGTTATCATAAGTTAGGCGATAAAGTTCGAAGTTCATATGAATTGAAAATTGCAGCCGAATTGATTAAGCATGCTAATGGTTTAGATCGAAAAAAAATTGAATCCTATTGCAAAGAAATGGAACAATTGAGCCGTCAAACCGAAGAAACATTATCAAAAAAACTAGATGACGATCATGAACAAGAGTCGGGAATTCTGCAAAGTAATAACGAAGAAAAAGAGAGGCAGTATAAGAATTTGGATGAATTAATTGACAATTGTCAGTCACCGAGTGATACAATAGCATTGAAGCTTTTGTCATCGAAAACCAATAGTAAAAATGAATTACCATCTCCTTTAACACCACCTTCACCTCCACGAAAATTAGAAGAATTAGAAATCTATCGTCCACAGTTGTATAACAAGAAACATGAACAAATTCCATGTTGTAGTTCGTCTGTTCGGATGAATTATACAAAAGAAAAAGGTCGACATCTAATTGCTCAAAAACCAATTCCATCAAATGAAATAATTCTAATCGAAAAGCCTTATTCATGGTTATTATTACCAAATTATTGTTACACATACTGTGATCATTGTTTAAAGTTAATCGTGATACCATTTGTTTGTTCTAAGTGTTCACATGTGATTTATTGTAGTGAATATTGTCAAAACTATTCACTAACTAATTATCATCAATATGAATGTGATTATATTCATGTACTAAGAACATTAGGCATTGCTTATTTAGGTATAAAACTATTGGTAAAATAATTAGAGTAGGATTTAAATCATTTTCTTATTTCAGCATATCGAACAATAACTATTACGGGTTTGGAGCGTTTACTAGCACCAACAAACAAAACTTCATCAAGTTGTTATTATTCTGATTATGAATCTGTTAAAAAACTGATAACACACACTGAACAAATGTCAATCGATGATTTATTTCATTATTCATTAACAGCATATTTATTATCCGAAATAATTAAACAAACAAAATTTATTCAAGGAACATCACATGAAGAGCAAATTAAACAACAGTTAATTATCGCTAGTCATTTATTGAGGCATATACAACAAATGATATGTAATGCACAAACAATATCAGTCATGAAAAAGAATATTAAACCAAAACAACAAGAAAATAATGAAGTTTCGGCTAGTAGTCATATTGTCATTAATGAGGTATAGTGCTAAGAATTCCATGTCAAATTCCAAATACAAATTTATATCTTTTTAGCAACAACAGCAACAATCAACGAAAAAGACAAAAAGTGCAACACAGAATGAGGGAAATCAAAATGGCATGAATGGTATTACAAAAGCAAAAGTTAAGGATATATCTAACGATGAAAATCAGACCGATGATATTGATGATGATTTATATTTTGATAATTTTTCTGAAAATGAAGATGATTCGTTTATTAGTGAACGACGTTTGGCTAGCGCTCTCTTCCCGACATGCAGCTTGATGAATCATTCTTGCGTACCAAATATAACATGTTCATTTTATAATGCATTACTCATAGTGAGAACATCAAGAAATATTTTAGCTGGCGAAGAGCTTTACAATTGTTATGGACCACAAAAATCTCGTATGTCAACACAATTACGACAATCAGTATTATACGAACAATATTATTTTAAATGTACATGTGAGGGATGCGTAGAAAATACAAAAATGAATGGTTAGTCTTTAAATATTGAATTTACCGAACCTGTAATATCATCAGATTCAATCTTATACTTTGCGTAAACTTCAAAGCCATAAAGATTCAATGTTTATATTTTTTCAGATAGAAAATTGAAATCAACAAAAAAACTTTTACCATCATCATCAACAACAACAACAACTCGTTTTCCATCAATTAAGAAAAATAAAGTAGATAACTCAAATGAACAAGTGACAGGAAATGCGCATAATTTATTTTATTTGAATTTTGCTGAAAAATTAAACGAAGCTAAAACAAAATTTTCTAATGGAACAAACTGTTTAATTTTGTATGAACAACAAACAAATAATGCTGATTTGTGGCAAAAAGGTTTGATTTATTTAGAAGAAGCTCAATTATTATATGAACATATTATTAACGAATTAAATCTTGATTCTGTCCACATTTATGATTATATTGCTAAAATATATAATGATAAACAAGACTATGAAAAATGTTCATCCTATCTAAATCGATCTATATCTATTTTGACCACATATGTTCATTCTTATTCAATCGGTTATTTATTAGATGATTTGAGAAAATATGCTCAAACACTATTTAATAGTAGAAAATTCAATGATTCACTGTCAATGTGTGCTCAAGCATTAACCTTGATACAAAAACATTCTATTACCTCTATGAATGGTCAAAATATAAAAGATTATTTGAAAAATATCGAAGATTTAAAAGCCGAATGTGAATTATGTATTAAATTATTGCAAAACTGAGAGGAAATAAGCGTTGGTGTAACAACGCTATGTTGTCTTTCGAATGGTCACTAATTTTTTCTTTCTTATCCGTGTGCAATCGTTTGTTCTTGTTACTGCCATTGTCATTCATTGTCTGGTAGTCTCTAGTCGATACTTACCTCTTTACTGATCCGTTGTAGTATAGATGAAAAGTGTACAAAACAGCAGCAGTTGAAAATAACTGAATGTATCCTTTTAGTCTCATCGTTTCCACTGGTCATCGATGTGGTACTCTTAAAAGATGTTCTTTATATAACGCTCAGGTAAACTTTGTCGTGCTAACTTTAATTTTTCAAAAAACAAAAATGGTGCTTGTTGTTAAAGTTTTTTTTATCGAATGCATATAAACGATCGAAAATTGTGGTTACTATTCAATGCGTCACTCTTATTAACGTCAAAAACAGTAGTATTTTTAAAATACAATTCGCCTATTTCTTCGCGTTTGCACATTGACAGTTGTGTTGTTGTTGTTTTTATATTTGTTTCTTCCTTATCCTCATACTTGACTATTGCTGTTGTTTTTTTACAGTACGTTTGGTTGGTATTTGTGTTGTAACCAGACAAATATCTTCTCTCTCTCTCTGTACAGTGATAAAGTATTATACATCCGATTATTGTCTGTGTGAGTTATTGTTGAAAACCTGAATATATTTGAATGTATAACGAGTTTCACTTGTTGACTTTTTTTTGTTTCAATTTATTCAACGTCTGTTCTCTTCTTCTTCTGCTTGTTTTTCACATTTTTTGTTCTTTTTGTTAACTATGTACATCCAGAAGGGATATTAGAAAGAGGTAAGGGATGATGAAATCAAAAAGAATAATTCTCAGAGAAGTATGTTATCGTTTATAAAAAATGAAAAAGATATTCTCCTTCCTTTCAGTGATAATACAATAAGGGGATTGTGACGATAAAAGAGCTGGATCTTCTAATTTGTCATGAGTTTTAAACCTTTTAACAGAGTCTTATACTATTTCGCAAAAAAGAAATTTATGCTCTTTTCACATTACAACTTTTAGATGATAAGATCAAGGGGGTCTTCTAATGTGCCAATTCCTTTACCGTTCGTTAGAAATGTTGAAGAACAGCAAAAAGTTAACATATTTCTGCTCGAGTCCTGCGGGTTTGAGATTTTTGAACCCGATCCCGATCTTTTCAAATAAAACCCGTTCTGAACCCGCTCCAACAAGAAATATTTTTTTCTAGTGAAGTAGTGTTCTCTTTCATTTTGACATTAGTAAATTTCTACTCGTAGAGTAGTACAAAAATAAAATTCACTTGGTCGGTTGTATGTCTGTATGTCTAATGCGAAACACCTGCCCATTTTCCTTATTTTCCATTCTTTTTTATTTATTTAGAGTTGTCTCTTATCTCACCTATATCAAGCTAAAAGAATCCGGATCGGAACCCAATCCCAGTCAGTTGAACTGAAACCCGAATCCGAAAAAAGCTTTCGGGATCCTGATTCCGAACCTAAATCCGCGGGTTTGGGATCGGGTTGAACCCACAGGACTCTAATTTCTGCATCTTCAAAATTTGTTAATATGACAGTATAAACTAACTGTTGACCTCCAACATTACAAAACTCTTTTTCTTATTATTTTGAATTAAAAACTGATAATAAGAAAGTATGAAAACACTTTGGTAATCATCACCAAAGCAATATCTCTTGAAGATGTTCACGTTACTTTGATATTTTATGATTTTCATCTTTATCATGGCTTCGGAGAAGTTGTTCAGAATAATGTCGAAACCAACTAATATCTTTTAATTCTTTAAACGTTGAGTTTATCGGATGATTTTAATCACTAAATTGATAATTAAAAAAATAATATTCTTACTCTTCTAGCAAAAACTTGAGTCTATCAACTCTTGCAAAAAAAAATATGAAATTAAACTAAGAAATGGTATAAGTATATTCTTGTCAATGCTCTGCACTTAAACATCGTACCAGATGCATAATGCATATTGCTCGAATTATACAGCAATCAATAACATGCTTCAAAGCAATAGGCGCGTTTTCTAATATTCAATATAAAACATGGCTGCAGTCAGAGTTTGGGTGTATTGTTAAAACCATAAATCAAGTTAGAATATGATGGTAACGTAGATAAGCTACAGAGAAAATGGCGTTATGTAAGCAGATTACAAAGAACTATAATAGGTGATTTTGATATTTTTTGACTTTTCGTATTTGCACCTAGATAAAACTAAGAAAATTGAGAATCCCGTAGCGTTAATACCAGGTGAACAATTTAAAGAATACTGTTTAAGAGCGGATAAATCATCAGATGAAATACAATCCATATTGAATTTTATATTTGATCCAAAACGAAGTCTCACTCAAACAGTTAACCAATACATCGACAATATTAAGAATTTGATCAGTGGAGGAATAGAATTCACGACATTTTGTACGGAAGGTAGCGTAAAAAGAAGGAAAAACTCGTTCATACCGATAATAGATGATTTGCAACAAGAAAGTTTGTACCTGTAACTCAGCCACCAGGAGATGTAAGAGAAAACTTTCTGGTAGCTTTGATCAGTTCGATAAACTACCGCGAATGGCAGTGTCTGTTTTGCCAAAAATATTTCCAACCTTTTGAGGTCTACCTGGCAGGAGAGAGAATCTCAGGAAGTCAAAAAAAGCCGAGAATTTTTTTCTCTCAAACAAACACTGCCATTTGCGCGCAGCTCACCGAACTAATCAAAGCTACCAGAAAGTTTTCTCTTACGTCTTTCTGTGGTTGAGCTGTAAAGTATTGTAAGTTGTTTATCTGACAAAAATTTTTTGTTTTAAAGCTCGAAAATATGATAACAGTACGTACTGTGGTCTTGTTTGGACCACAACCACAATTTCTTTCCGTTGTCGAACGTGCCAGACGAATCCGTGTATGAGCTTGTGTCCTGAATGTTTTCAAAATGCTAATCACGAAGATCATGATTCACATATGTTTCGAAGTCCCGGAGGAGGTAGAAATCATAGAGGAAAACTTTGAATTAAACAACTTCATTACTTTCTCCGTTTGTCATGAGGTATATGCGATTGTGGAGACGAAAGCGTTATGAAATCAAGTGGATTTTGCAAACGACATGGTCCAAATCGAGTACCAAACGAACCTCCACCAGCAGCATTTATCTGCTGTGCTAAACAAATTATTCCACATTTATTAATTCGTTTTATTCAATGTTTGAGAAACAATGCCCCAAAAAGTAATAAATTTATTTATTTCTGAGACGTGTGTTGATAACTGATGTTTTAAGCTAATGACTCATACGGTCAAGAATTTAATACTCTTACAAAATTATTTGATATGTTGGATGATATGTGTAATTCTGGATCGGTTATTCGTTCTTTATTCACGAACACTTTATTGGACACGGATTTATATGATAAATTAAATTCCCTACCACTGCCGCCGCATTTACCGCCAGAAGTTTCACATATATCGTATAAAGTTTTTCTTGATAATCTTGAAACCATACCCAGTCTTCCTATTCCATTACAATTGAGAAATAGGATATTAATGAATAATCGATTCAACCTAGAAACATTGTCCTTTAAAAAGTTCGATAAAAGAGTTGAACCATTAAATTCCTCTTCTGAAGCAAGCCTTATCGATCAAAGAGAGAGAGTTATTACAAGAAAAATTAATGAAAATGTGCCGAAAGCAACGTGTCTGTTGGATGAATTAGTATTTTGGTTGATCAGATACAATATTCCCGGTACGTTTATTATCGATGTGTGTAAGCACCAATAAATCTATTACAGTTTTAGTATTCTACTCTTTAGAACGTATATCAAAGTTTCTTCTCATGTTATTGACCGATATTGATTTTAAAAAACATTTTACGAAGTCATTTGTGTCTTATTATGGCATGGCTGTGAGACAGTTGACACAATCAAAATATAAAACATTGTCTGATACATCGAAACTAGCTCATATTGGTGTACAATTATTTTCTTCATCGGATTTAATCATTTACGCAATGAATAATTATCATTTAATGGAAGTCATGCTATCGAGTCTATTCATGATGTTTTCGTCTGTTAAAAATTCTCTATCAGTTTGTCAATTACAAGATCCCAGACTCAACTATCATCTAGTATTAACAGAAACACCATCTCATAAAAATTTAGAATATTGGCCAATTGTTAACGATTTTATTAATGTAATATCCCATGAATATGCCAGTAGAGCATTTTTAACAAATAAATCTTATTTTGCTATATGGATGAACATTATTTCATGGTTTCAAGGTTGGTGAAATTTGATGGTTTTCATTATAATCAAGGATGTCTAAAGGCTAATATTTTTTAGGGATGAACGTCAATAATCTCGAAGTGACTCCCAATCGAACAGTTTTAATTAGAGATACCTACATATTTTCATTTACAGCTGAACTTGAATGTTGTGCATCGGCTTTATGGACTTTTATTGTTCATATTATGTCACCGGTATAATAATACTCATGATTATTAAAACAATAATCTACTAAGATTTTTCTAGGATATGTTAGTTATCACCATGAGCGCGTTGAACAGATTATTTATGACAATTAAAGTAACTATGATACAAATAATTTCTCCTTTCATTTGAATATAACAGAGTGAAGTTTTTGTTCGTTTTTGTTTCTTTAGTCATGGTATATGGCTATTGGTTTTCGTTGTCATACTGATGTATGCTTTTTTCTTGCACCGATTGAATTTTATCATGTATTTCTACTTCAGATTTATACTAGTCAAGTCACATTCCATCTACCGCTACATCGATATATTTCCATTTTGACTTTTGTCTGTTTAAATTATCAAAATGGTGTTTTGGAAGACATCTTTCCCGCTAATAAACAATTTCTGTTGAATTTGGTATCATTTCCATTACGTTTACAAGCTTTTTTATATGAAATGAAGGCATCATTTCACACGATGAATTCTTCCGCGATTCAAATGCAAATAGAAATGTATACAAGTAATAAAGGT